CTTTTCCGTGACATCAAACATCAAATTTGCAAGAAAATATGTAACAATGAAAACAAAGTATTATAGAAACAATAAATGCTGGTACCGACATGTATTTCTTTTCAGTTTGAAAAAGATGTGCTTTTTATCATTTTTTGTTCAAATTGGATGCAATAAAATTGCCCCGGGTACCCCCGACTCCAGTTGCCATGGTTACTATAATATTAACCAATCATATGGCAGAAGTTATATATTCAAATATTTTAATTTAGAAATGTACAAAGTATATTCTGACCAAATTTCAGGATGTTTGGACCAATATTTACAAAATACCAGATACTTTTACCTTATTTATTGATCACCCTGTATGATGACATATAGTTGAATTTTGTGGAGATAAAGAAGGCCTAGTATGTAATACTAGATATTACAGATGTTTTCATTTAAAACCACTGACAGTGCAAACAATGACGTGCAACTTAAATATGTAGATCATGAGATAAAGGCATTTTGTGGCATCCATTTAATTAAAATACACCATGAATATGCATATTTATGTCTTTAAATTCACAAGAATACTTTAACTTGCATCTGTTGTTTGTTGCCTTTGTCATTTGATGTTTGATAATTGTATGTGCTAATGTTTGTTTTGTTTTTTCAGGGATTGGAGTCTATACCAGACAAACTTATCAAATAAATAGGAAATTAAAGTCTTAGATGCCAAATTCGATCCTTTGCTCGTCATCAATATCACTTGGAACGCACCTGAAGTATGGATCTCCTGAAGAAAAGTCCATACCCCTAAATATGACAGTACTTACTTCATTACCAAATATGGTTATTCGCAAACTTCATCTGGAACTCTTTGAAATATGACAAGATTTCTGCTAATTGTATGACAATATTATATAGGATGACCTGAGACAATAGAAAATAATGCAACACAATCTGTGTTTAGTGAAATAGTGTTCATCTAATGCATCCATAAATCTTGATCCTGCCATTAGTATACCATTTATTATATTAAAAAGCAATATCGAGTGGCATAATAATTAGATAAATGGTAATTTGCTTGCAGTTAAATACAATTTCATGCATAGGTTTTTGTTTGTGTTTTCTTATTGGAAAAAAACTCATCTATTTATTTCTAATTAATCTTTAGTAGTTCAGACAAAAATGGTGTTTATCAGAACTTTAATTTTCCCTTTTGATTTTGTTTTGGTATACTTCACAAGTGTTATTTGTAAATATAATAAATAGTCAAATGTTATAGCATAAACAAAATTGTTGTTAGAATTTGTTGTATCATACATTTGCTGGTATAGAGCCTTGGAGACATTCATTTTGGTAAATATAATTTACACGGCATAATTTGATTTTTGGCAAAAATAGAAAACTGAACTACAGGGAGGTCCAAAAAAGTGAACCCCTGCAATGGGCCATATTTCCCTTATTAATTGCGGGAATCCTTTCATATTTTCACATGTTATAGAGGAAGGGCTAAAGTTTTTGTTGGTACCATACATTTTTCTTTGTCTTGAAATTTGCGGAAATTATAAGGCCGAACCAAAAATTACTGAAAATGGATAAAATGTGATTTTCAACACCCGCGATTCTTTAACCATTCAATACCCTTCCCCTGACAATTTCTTAAGCTGCAGTCTTTAAAGAACTAATATTTTCTGACTTTTGGTTTTGAATCCCGCATATTATGGCGTAAAAACTAGCATCCTATCTCTGTTAGTTGCAAAGTAATTGTGATCCAAAGATCCAAAATGTTCTAAATTTCCACAGAGGAAAATATTTTCAAGTGATATCGCAACATAACCATAATATGATCTTAAAATGTCAATATTTTCATATATTGTATGTAGATGTATGTACCGAGAATGTGTTCACATTTCTTCAGAATCCGGAATCTTGCGAATGCAAAAACCTCGAAATGTGAACAACTCCTAATCTGAACGCTTTAAGCGTATATTTCATATATTAAATCAAAACACAGTTTTCAAATCATCTGCTTTCTTAAAATTAGAACCAAGTGCAATGCTTTTTTAGATTCCATAACTGACCATAGACTGCTATAAAGGAGTGATTCAGTGAAATTGACTACTCTCAACGATTTCATAATTTCAAGTTGGCAGTTGAGTGAAGACCTATAAATAGCATGGGGAATAGCAAGGCATGTGCTTATGCAGGTCAAAAGATTAGTTTTTACCATTAACATTGAATGAATTGTGGATGATTTAATTCACTCATCTTGTATCCTAGACTGAAATGAGGCTGCCAATCACTCATATCTGGAAACTATCTTAGACTTTGAATTGGGGCTGCCATGTTCTGTATGTTTTGTCATTTGGCTTTCAAGATAAATAATTTCTCAATCCATTTAATACTTTATGGTTTCAAATAATAACAAGGCATAACATGCAAAATGTCACCGCCTGTCATTCGTTGCAGATGCAAATCACAGAACACCAACCACTGAATGCCAACCTCTGAACAGTGTCAACAAAAAAGTTGTAGAGTATAACAATATGTCAACTTTTGTATTGCATGTAGTGGTGACATATAAAACTCTGTTAATGAGTACTATTTTACTAGAATATTAAAACAAATTGGGCACAAAACAATAATTTAAAATATTTGCCAAATTCTTTTATTTCGAGGTAAAATATGCAAACTCTCATGTTCACATCACATACAATAAATATGAATATATTCAGGTACATGTTCAGTAGTGAATTCAGGGTGTAAAACAAGACATAAACCATGTATATAATGCCACTTTAAATCATGCTTCAAGAGAGATTACAATGGAGGACTTTGAAAGTAACTGAAATGGGAAATGACAAGTTAGAGTCATGTTAAACAGAGAAATAGCATGACTAAAATGGCATTATAATCCAGGTTAATGTTATATTGCAAATGTTATTATTATAGAATAATCCATAAAACCATACAAAATAGTCATTATGAAAGTAAGTGCTGAGATGGATTTGCAGTTGCTTTGCAAGGCCATTTATTACCAATATATATAGCCAATACCTCCATGGCATTTTCAGTAGTGCATTTGAGGTCTTAAATTCAATCAAAATTATTAAAAATCTACAGAAATTAGATGTGAAACCAATTTTCAAAAGAATGCTGAGATCGTAAATGTGAAATTCAAACTGATCAGATTTACCATATATATAGCCAATACCTCCATGGCATTTTCAGTAGTGCATTTGAGGTCTCAAATTCAATCAAAATTATTAAAAATATACAGAAATTAGATGTGAAACCAATTTTCAAAAGAATGCTGAGATCGTAAATGTGAAATTCAAACTGGTCTGATTTACCACTGATTGACTTACCATTGGAGCTTCATTTCTTCAAAAATTAGGCCTATGTACATTAAAACTTGAATCTATATGTAAATGATCAACGTTATAAAACTTCAAAATTACTGCCTCCAAACTGAGCCTAAAACTTTGGCAAACAAAGGTTGTTGTAAACACAAGCTGGTCATGATAATTTCAACAAAATAGAAATAAAGCCAGAGAAATTAATTCCATGTTTATGTCAACTGTACAACTAAATAAGGCTAGAAATTAAATTTTATCATTATTTTATTAGATTTGAAAACTTAAGGCTTTTAAGCTTTTCATTTTGGCTAATTATGTAACATGAAACTAGAATCTAGAAACATCGCTCATTTTTCCGTAAATGTAGTTTAGACCTCATTTCAATGTTCATGGACTTTCATATGAAATTAATGTTTAGATGCTCAACATTGATTTATTTACTTTGGCCCAAATGGATTGGAAGTCGTGAAACAAAGCATCAGTAGGAACCAGGGTTTGAGCTGAGCTTCTGAGACCAGCTGGTCAAAATGGCACTACGGACCATGTTATTTTCCTATACCAACTGTAAAAATCATCTGGTTCGTTTCAAAAGTTACCTGGAAAAAGACCAGAAGATCAGCCCTTAGCTCAAGCTCTGGTGGGAAAATTCCAAATTGAAGAACTTTTGTCAGAAAAGATTTCAGAAATTTGCATGACCAGCAAGATATACAGTTCAAACTTGGCGCAATAAATGAGAATTTGGAGTGGTTTAGTCACCCTATTCTAAACCTAGCTTTTTATTACTTACAAAAATATCATTTCTATACATGTGTAATAACAGTTTACTGCTTTGTAATGACATTGTGAGCCACTTATGTGTGACACTTATTGATTGTTGTCCCAATTTACAACTCACGTCACACTTTATATCTCATGTCACACTTTTTATAATCCTCCGTGTCACTCTTTCAACTCATCTAATTGACTCTAAGTTTGGCACCATAGTTTACCCATGATGCAAAACCATTGCAACAAAACAGAGGAGGCTTTACAGTACCATGGTGCTTAACCACATATAATATTTACAACTCGACTACGTATTAACAAATTGTATTGCATCTTATTTTTATCCATTCACCTAAATAAAAGATAAGTTGACTATGTTTTGGTTTACAATTTCATTGGCGGTATAGTGTGTATATTGGCTAAAATAACAATAAATCTATCATTTGCCATAGAAGGAGAAGGGGCACAGATTTTGACAATGTAAATACAGGGGGCCAATTCATAAGTGATCTTATTTTGCTGTATTTTAGCCCTTTATTCTATAAACTCCTATAGCAAGTCCTTATACTACATAAGTGAGAGGAGTATAAGAATTGTGTGGTAAAATTCCAGATGAACATAGGGGTTGGGTGGAAAGTGGCAAATTAACACAGGTTCTGGGTAGAAAATTCCAGATGAACATAGGGGTTAAGGGGAAAATTCCAGATGAACATAGGGGTTGGGTGGAAAGTGGGTAATTAAGACATCGTCTGGGTGGAAAATTCCAGATGAACATAGGGGTTTAGGGGAAAATTCCAGATGAACATATAGGGGTGAGTGCAAATATGAAGATAGGGGTTGAATTGAAAATTCATATGAACTTGGGTTTGAGAGGAAAAATTACATAAACATAGGGGTTGGGTTAAAAATTCCAGATGAACATAGGGGTTGAGTGGAAAATTCATATGATCATAGGGTATACAAACATAGGGACATAGTAGAGTGGTGCAGAATTTCAGATGAACATGTGGCTGCTTTGATAATCTTTGAACACTCCTCGTATCTCCTCCTCCTGGCCTTATATTACAATCCTCATGTGTCTAGTGGAGCTTATGTTAGGCTACATAGTGGTATGTATTTGAATTGTCTTTATCTCGCTCCATATAGTCTCTGTCTATTAAACTCTCAATTCTCTTCTTTAAATCACTTGGCTGAAATAAAGCAAATAAGAATTTATATTTGAAATGTTAGGAGAAAATTTCAAAACAATTCTATTCTCTGTTGTTTGTATATTATATCAGGAATGGTGTCAATTTGTTTATCAGGAATGGTGTCAATTTGTAAATCAGGAATGGTGTCAATTTGTTTATCAGGAATGGCGTCAATTTGTTTATCAGGAATGGTGTTAATTTGTATATCAAGAATGGTGTCAACTGTCAACAGTTGTAAAAGGACAAAGTTGATTTAAAATAAAAATTAAATGGTGACTGTGAGAAATGTTGATTTTCATGTTTTAATGAATGAAAACATTTTTGAAGTCATAACTGTAATACTACAAGTTAAAGCTCAAGTTACAGACATTGTGCAACATTAACTAATCTCAATCAACCATGACATATTTATTTGGTTAAATAGCTCATAAATAATGCCATTATGAGTGCTATCTGTCTATTAAGCATGCCATGATAATATTAACCAATCAGATAATGAGCTATATTCTCTTCTCTTACCTTGACAGGGAATTTGAGCTGATTATAAAGCTCACTGATGAGGAGATTGTGACCAATCAGATAATGAGCTATATTCTCTTCTCTTACCTTGACAGGGAATTTGAGCTGATTATATAGCTCACTGATGAGGAGATTGTGACCAATCAGATAATGAGCTATATTCTCTTCTCTTACCTTAACAGGGAATTTGAGCTGATTATAAAGCTCACTGATGAGGAGATTGTGACCAATCAGATAATGAGCTAAATTCACTTCTCTTACCTTGACAGGGAATTTGAGCTGATTATAAAGCTCACTGATGAGGAGATTGTGACCAATCAGATAATGAGCTATATTCTCTTCTCTTACCTTGACAGGGAATTTGAGCCGATTATATAGCTCACTGATGAGGAGATTGTGACCAATCAGATAATGAGCTATATTCTCTTCTCTTACCTTGACAGGGAATTTGAGCTGATTATAAAGCTCACTGATGAGGAGATTGTGACCAATCAGATAATGAGCTATATTCTCTTCTCTTACCTTAACAGGGAATTTGAGCTGATTATAAAGCTCACTGATGAGGAGATTGTGACCAATCAGATAATGAGCTATATTCTCTTCTCTTACCTTGACAGGGAATTTGAGCCGATTATATAGCTCACTGATGAGGAGATTGTGACCAATCAGATAATGAGCTATATTCTCTTCTCTTACCTTGACAGGGAATTTGAGCTGATTATAAAGCTCACTGATGAGGAGATTGTGACCAATCAGATAATGAGCTATATTCTCTTCTCTTACCTTGACAGGGAATTTGAGCTGATTATAAAGCTCACTGATGAGGAGATTGTGACCAATCAGATAATGAGCTATATTCTCTTCTCTTACCTTAACAGGGAATTTGAGCTGATTATATAGCTCACTGATGAGGAGATTGTGAGTAAGCGTTTTCCTAGTTTTCATGATCCTGACAATAGCAGCGTCCACCTGATACTGCCGGTCTTGAAACACTCTTTCTGTCGTATTTGTATTTTCCTCTTGCTGGAAAAATGCATTTGAGAATTTGAGTTTAAATACTTGGGAGTATTACAATGTTTTATACAACTGAGTACTGCTATCTGATATCAACATTTGATATTTTCAAGAGACCTTATTTGAGTTTGGATATTACAATTTCTTCGTCAAAGTACATGTATATATAAGTGCATACACAACAATTATATCTTGGCAACTGTATTTCCCAAACAGAAAATTAATAAAACTGAATCTGACAATCAGGTTAATGAGTTTCAAAATGTGTTGGTTAGGATCAATTTTGCACCTTTTTGAAACTTTATATTATGTTACTATGGTTTGTGTTTAACATTTCTCTATGAATCAAAACTGCATACTTTGTACCAAGACATAACAACCCAGGCAAATGTAGCATGGTGTATCAAAGTTGAGTGCATCATCCAAACACCATGACAATTTAGTCTACTTAATTAAAGATATGAATACTTTACACTCAATATTTCTATACTTACTGTTTCTTTCATTTGTATTTGGTTGATTTTGATTCTAAACAGCTTGTGTTTGAAGTCTCCATTGTATATGAACCTATCTTTGTTATCTATATCTTTTCCCTGAAAATATGAGATTCTTTGTTAAAATTTGAAGTCAATCTCATTCATATCTCCTTCTTAACATATGAGAAAATAGTATCCCATTGTATATGAACCTATCTTTGTTATCTATATCTTTTCCCTGAAAATATGAAAATATGAGATTCATATCTCCTTCTTAACATATGGGAAAGTATCCCATTGTATATGAACCTATCTTTGTTATCTATATCTTTTCCCTGAAAATATGAGACTCTTTGTTAAAATTTGAAGTCAATCTCATTCATGTCTCCTTCTTAACATATGGGAAAGTATCCCATTGTATATGAACCTATCTTTGTTATCTATATCTTTTCCCTGAAAATATAAGATTCTTTGTTAGAATTTGAAGTCAATCTCATTCATATCTCCTTCTTAACATATGAGAAAGTATCCCATTGTATATGAACCTATCTTTGTTATCTATATCTTTTCCCTGAAAATATGAGATTCTTTGTTAGAATTTGAAGTAAATCTCATTCATATCTCCTTCTTAACATATGGGAAAGTATCCCATTGTGTATGAACCTATCTTTGTTATCTATATCTTTTCCCTGAAAATATGAGATTCTTTGTTAGAATTTGAAGTCAATCTCATTCATATCTCCTTCTTAACATATGGGAAAGTATCCCATTGTATATGAACCTATCTTTGTTATCTATATCTTTTCCCTGAAAATATGAAAATATGAGATTCTTTGTTAAAATTTGAAGTCAATCTCATTCATATCTCCTTCTTAACATATGGGAAAGTATCCCATTGTGTATGAACCTATCTTTGTTATCTATATCTTTTCCCTGAAAATATGAAAATATGAGATTCTTTGTTAAAATTTGAAGTCAATCTCATTCATATCTCCTTCTTAACATATGGGAAAGTATCCCATTGTGTATGAACCTATCTTTGTTATCTATATCTTTTCCCTGAAAATATGAGATTCTTTGTTAGAATTTGAAGTCAATCTCATTCATATCTCCTTCTTAACATATGGGAAAGTATCCCATTGTATATGAACCTATCTTTGTTATCTATATCTTTTCCCTGAAAATATGAGATTCTTTGTTAGAATTTGAAGTAAATCTCATTCATATCTCCTTCTTAACATATGGGAAAGTATCCCATTGTATATGAACCTATCTTTGTTATCTATATCTTTTCCCTGAAAATATGAGATTCTTTGTTAAAATCTCATTCATATCTCCTTCTTAACATATGGAAAAGTATCCCATTGTATATGAACCTATCTTTGTTATCTATATATTTTCCCTGAAAATATGAGATTCTTTGTTAAAATCTCATTCATATCTCCTTCTTAACATATGGAAAAGTATCCCATTGTATATGAACCTATCTTTGTTATCTATATATTTTCCCTGAAAATATGAGATTCTTTGTTAGAATTTGAAGTCAATCTCAATCATGTCTCCATCTTATACTTAACATAAAGATGTTTTTGAGGGGTTTGTTACTTTTAGTGCAAAATTTTAGAACTTTGAAATTTTCTGACTTTACATGTATTGAGAGACATTGAATTATTTTAGTTAAACCTGGGTGCTGGGAAATAATTATTAGAGGGACTGCAAACCAATGACATTCCAATGTGGGCTGAGTCCTGGGTCAAATTGAATATATACCTTTGGTATTTTAGAGAGGACCCTTGCTTTCCCACAGGCCAGTGACTGTAGTGTTCTTTTAAGTTCTCCCTCCTCTGAAACCAGAACATAACAGTCATTATAACAATTCACAATCTGAATTATAACTCCTTGATTTATTCAAGTAATATCATGTGATCAGTATTGTAGCGTGGGACAAATCTTATAAAACCAAAACAAGGGTTTCTCACAGAGCTTAAACCAATGCTTCAAACATAACAACTTTTATATAAGGAGCATCTTTTTAACTTTTCACCTCTATACTCTGAGCTACAACAAAGTATTATTACTTCAATTATGCACAGGAAAATGGAAGTCTAAATTCTACGAGTTAATGTCAAAGGCTGTTTACAAGACTACAATTTTTTGAGTATACAAATATTGTTTTGTATATCTAAGACTTCCAGTTCCATAACCCTTATATACAGTAAAACACTTTAAATTCGTGGGAGCAATTTTCGTGGTTTTGTACATTTGTCCTTTTTCGTGTATTCATGTTTTCATGATTTCGCACTTCAGTATGTAGTATGCACATACCTATAGCTGTGGCTTGTTTGATGTCCTCAAAGCTGAACTCCCCGCCATCATTGAACATGAGGAGACAGAGTGTTTGGAACAGTGATACCTGCAGCTCTTTACTGCCCTGGAGACACAGCAATAACATGATAATATAGACATGTCAATGTAATATAGATGCATTTATGTAAATAACATCAGCACATAATACACTCATCCTGGTATTCTGTGATTCCGTATCGCTGCAGAAAAAACGCAGAACTTTGGTTTCAAATTTTTTGCAGAATTTGACTTTTGGCATGAACGTTCATGGAAAATGAGATATTTCCAGTATCATCTCATATTTGTCATCAACCTAGACAAAACTTTGGAAAAGGCATTGCTTTTATCTTTGACTCGAAGCAATAGACTAAATGCATTCACAAATGTTAACCAAATGGTGGTCGCATCAGATCAAAATTACTGTACTAGTAAAAAAGAATAGAGCTTACCACATTGAATTTTGCTTTGAGAACACAATGTCCCAGAGTTGACTGCCATTGTAGCTTCCTTCCACTGTGTTTCCCCAGGTAGAACTTTTTGAAGATTTCTTGAAATTTTATCATCTACAATATTATGTTAATTGTTTGAATAAAAACATGTTTGGTTACATTCTTGGACTAGAAATTTCTATATCTAAAAATATATAATATGATTATAGGAACAATTTTCAGTTGCCTGAAAAAGCTTTAGAATAAGATTTAAAATAAATCAAAATATCGCAAAACTAAATCTTTTTGTCAAAATATATAATAACTATTTTTGTTAATTTTGAAGATGATTTGCATTATTTTGTATAATAAACGTAATGCTTTCATATTCTTGTACAAATAAAATAACTCAATGTAAATAGAAATTCAATCATGAATATTCCATCAAAATTGAGAGACATTCCAAATCTGAGGGCTGCATTTTTGTGTCGCCCTATAGTAAATGTTACCTCAGCAGGTAGATGAACCTCCATGGGGAGATAAGTTGGCCAGTAGCCCATTGTTAATATATTAACAGTCAGGTCTATGTGTCCAGGACTCTGTCTGTCTTGCATGTGCTGCTTGAATGCCAACATTATGTCCTTAGATAGCTCCATATCTTTAAACATGCCCTCTAGTTTACTAGTGAATCCACCTCCACATTCTGAAAATAGAAAAACATACAATCATTTCACATGCCCTCTAGTTTACTTGTGAATCCACCTCCACATTCTGAAAATAGAAAAACATACAATCATTTTAACACACCCTTTAGTTTACTTGTGAATCCAGCCCCGCATTCTGAAAACAGAAAACGTGCTCTCGTAGTTTACTAGTGAATCTACCATTGCATCCCCACAATCTAAAAATAGAAAAACATGTGATCCTTTAAACATGCCCTCTAGTTAACTAGTGAATCCATCGCACATTGGGGAATTAGAAAACATAAACATTTAAACAAACCCTGTATTTTACTAGTAAATCCATCCCTACATTCTAAAAAAAGAGAAACATGCCCACTAGTTTACTTGTGAATCTACCCCACATTTTGAAAATAGAGAAACATGTGATCATTTAAACATGCCCTTTAGTTCAATAATGAATCAACTCCACATTGGGGAATTAGAAAAACATGAACATTTTAACATGCCCTATATTCAATTAGTGAATCCACCCTACATTCTGAAAATAGAAAAACACCCCCTCTAGTTTATTAGTGAATCCACCCTATATTGGAAAATCATACTACATCTTTTTAAGATGACGGTCCATATAAAATAAAAGATGTTGATTGAGTCTACCAAACAACATACTCTATTGTGACTGCACAATCAATAACATATAAATAGTGCATGAAGGAGTCTGAGATGAAGCAGCGTATTCAAGAATGACGAGGCAAAGAAACAAAAATGTCATCCTCTTCGATGTTCAGGCTTATTTTAACCTCTTGAATCCCAGGCTCTAAAATCGGTTGAGACCAGAGAATTTTTCATTTTTTGCCGCCTTTTGACATTTTATTACATACCAATACAACTTTAGTTGATCAACTGAGCAAAATTACTTGCAGATCATGACGACACATTTTAAAACAATTTGAGCAATTTTGGTGACAAATTTTGTGACATATTTTCTCGACACTTGGTTTCAAGGTCATTTCTGAGGTGATTAGAAATCTTGTCTTTCAAGGTAGTCAAGAGGCTAAAAGGAACAATATGGATTGAGTTAAATCACACATATACCTAGATCGAACAAAGATGTTGGATCATATACATACAATTTTTGATCTGAATCTATCATATCTATCTCAATTTTGATAATCATTTTGTTTTCAATAATGTAAAAGTGAGATGATGGGTAATTATTTCATAACATAATATTGAAGGGTCACATTCTGGTTACATATAAATAAAATATTACAATGCCCCCATCACCCAAAAAATTATTGCATCACAAATCTAGGCTCTCCACAAATTTAATAATGTTCATTGTATTTCAGAAACAACAACCTAACAAGGACACAATTGTTTAGGCCTATGACATGTTTCTACCAATGGGTGATCCTATATAGATTCTTCATCCTGAATGCCCAACATAAGATTTTAGGATGAAAAATCCAAAATGGACACCTTAACATTTGCCCAGACCAGAATGCCGAAAAATTAATTAGTTTTTCATACAAAGAATCAAACTTTGAAATCAATTCATCAAATGGATCGCCAAGACTTTACAAGATTTTAGGACTGAAAATCCGAAATGACTGCCCCAACATTTACCAAGAATGCCAAAAAACTAATCAGTCAGAGATTTCCACACAAAGAATCAACCTTGAAAATGTGTAACTGATCTGTGAAACTATTTGCCTGAAAAACATGATAACTTTAGCAGAGAAAACTGTGACACTTAAAGATGTATAGAGAGACGGATACACCTATAGTGCTGATACAAAAAAATAATAAAGGGTGAGTTTTCAAACTAAACAGAGTGCTACTCCCAAAAATGGATTTCCCTAAACTGTATAAGTGGTTAATTTGCCGAGACATTTAATTTTCTGATTTCCGATTTATGCTTAGTGTCGGAAAATTAAATGTCGGAAACATAACATCTTAAAATCGATTTACATTGTGAATTGAAGCTGTCATGATAACATTAACAGTCAAGTCAGCTATGAGACTTGCATGATAGTTTCGGCGCTAAAAATAAAGATTAAACAAACAAACTCACATGTCGCATAATTCCTCTCAAAGACGCAATCAAAACATTTTAATCCTTTAGCATTTCCCTGGCTTATATCTGTCTTCAAGTGTCAGCCACTGTCTCATACGTTAGATAATTACTTCCAAAAACTTTATCAGAAACATTTTAATCCTCATGTTACCTGTATGTGTCAGTGAAACAAATGCAAAAAAGCTTTTGACAAATTTGAGAAATAAACACAGATTGACCATTGATCACTTATTAAAAATAATATTGACAACTTCGCTTCTGAGCACTTACCATTAAAAGCTAACCACAATAAACAAACCTAGTGGAGATTACCCTTACCATGGGTTTTCAATTTAGTTGAATTTAGTTGCCCTTACTTAATTTTAGTGAAATTTCAGCTCAAACTCTTGACAAATGCGTTATGCATATGCTGGTATGAAGCCTTGGAGACACTGGTAAATATGATTTACGGTGAATACTTTTCTGCAGTTTGTGGGTGTTTGGGACATTAAATGTTAAAATTCAAGAAAATATGCCAACAATACGACTTATCAATTAATTTGTATCAGCACTGTAGGCCGACAACATGGCCCCAAACTGTGGGGACAAAATAAAAAAGAAAAGGTTAAAAGATTGCAGACTTCACAATTGCTCTAATCCTAAAAAGAGGTTCTCTACCAAGCAAGACATAAAGTATCACGAAACAGAGTATTCATGCCATATGGGGTCCTGCAACTTATAATCAGTATTATCTGATAATATAATAATTGGTCAAACTGCCAAGGAAAATACAACTAAGTTCATGATTTGATAACATTCACATTCAACCTAGGCTTAAAATTTCACTTTATTTTCCAATGGATGCAATAAACATGTACAATGAATAAAATAAATCCTTGATTTTAATTCTGTACATTTCAATGTATTTTGTTTTTAAATAGAGATTTATTTCAATCTGTTCAAATCTATTCTAAATGAACTAGGCTTTAATAATTTTCAGCGAGTGTAATGTTTTATATACTGGCTACTTATGAAAATTATAAACTACATTTAAGTATACAAACAACAAGCCGCGAAGTGAGGATATTACATTAATACAGAATTTATACAGGAATTTAAATATCACACAGGAGAAATAGAGCCGAAAACAACCAATGGGAACATAACATTCATACCAAATGAGAATCTAATATAAAATAGAAATCGTACTACATGAGAGCTCTATATGATCACTGAGGACATTATATTCTTCACAATACATAGAGGGAACCTAATATAAAACAGAGGCCATACAGGAGAGTTCCATATAGTTACTGAGGAATCGGAATATTTAACATTCTCCACAATACATAGTGGGAACCTAATACAAAATAGAATATACAATCAGGATATGAGAATATTACATTCTCCACAATAGTGGAACCTAATTCATATGAAACAAATCATACAATAGAGCTCCACACTATATAAGACAAATCATGAAGTTTTTCATTACAATTCTATACATGACAATACATACTGATTATACCATTGGACAAATAATAGGAGATTGGGAAGAGATATTTGAACCAGACCCACTTCCCGACCCACCTTTAGTTGCTCTACCCCAGTGCGGGGTTGTTAATTGGGTCCCTCCTGACCCTGGGTGTGCAAATGAAACAACCCAACCATGGCGATGGAAGAAGTATTCATGTAGGAACAGATGTGGAGATCAGAATATTAATAGAAATTTTGCAGCATTCTGCTCCTGTGGCCCCATGTGCATGATACAGCACGACTGTTGTGAGGATTTCAAAGAGCAATGCATATCTGACCACAACACAGCTAGCCTGATTGGCGATGAATTCCATGCAAATGGGGATTTTAAAGATGACCAATTTGAATGCTCGTTACTTTATAAGACTGAAAATCCCGATAGCCATTATTGGTTGATTAACAAATGCGGTTCTAATTGGCCAAACGATACCATACGCGGCCTGTGTGAAAATGAATATGTGGATTTTGCAACAATACTGCCAGTGCTGTCACACACTCACAACAATGTGAGCTATAAGAACTATTACTGTGCTGCATGCAACAATGATGTCAATTATATTCCATGGGGTCTTGATGTGACATGCAAGGACATTTATGAGGGCTCCTTAGACACACCACAAAAAGTCCTTAATAAAATTGAGAAAGGTAGCTGCACATTAGAATACACCATTCCACATAATGTTAAGCATCACTGTCTATATGCCGAAATAGAACTTGACTGTCTGGAAACACCATTAAAATGTCCACCAGAATTTTCTGAACTTTGTAATGGTTCTCCTAGTACCCAAATGCCAGTCACATACAAATACGGGGAAAAATATGTAAACTTTAAAAATGTGTACTGCGCAGTGTGTAGTGGGGTGAGTGGAACAGCACTACTTGACAAATATTGTGAGACAATACCGAAACAGGAAAGCTTGCCAAGTTCTCCTCACCTCAGTCAATTCTCCTTTGGGATTCTTGTTGATTTTAACCCAAGTGGCGGGAATAAAGTTGGGCTTGAATTTGGAGTTGAAACAAAGGAATTTGGATGCAGCATTGGAGAGACGAGTGCAAATTGTATATCGTACTGTCGTGATGGTTACACATATATTGATGGAAGTTGCATCTTTCAATTTCATCACCTCGAGATGGTAATCAATGGAACAATCGCAATTGAAAATGAAGGTGATGTTTATGGTGATGACTCTTTGTACTCACCTAGATATATATTGAAAATAGCAATCATTAAATCTTTTGAACCTTTTTTAGTGGAAAATCATGCAGTTAACAGCATTTATGTTGAGGTGGATGTAGATACGATATCACACAGGATAATTTACTACGTTCCTGGGAAATACAAACTCAAAGCTGGGGATGAAAAACCAGTTAAAACAATCCATTTGGAATTTTTGGCTGAAATTGTAGAATATGTTCAAAATAATGTAACAGCAACAATAGCAGGCTATGACTCAACCTTAGAGCCTCAACTCAACGAAACATGCCTTGACTTGCTTGGTTACACAACATGCTGGAAAAATGGATCAAATCTGAACTCAACATATAATGGACCACACATAGACCTGCACTTTTATAAGCCTAACGAAACATCTCCAGATTCAAACAATTTAACAACACCTGATTGCACCAGGCAAGCTTTCAATGCTGACTCATTTGAGATATTATCCAATGGGAGTGCACTCTTGATTCACTCCGAAACTATAATTCCAGCAGATGACTTCCTGTTGAGTGGAAATTACATTTATGTTTGTGTGAATGAAACTGAACTGACCTCCCGATTGGGGCAAAACTGGGTGTTTAATGACATAATGGGTCTCCTTACTATCATATTAACAGTATTATCTCTCATTTGTCTCCTTATACGGCTCATACTTCAGTTTATCGTACCACTTTACCAGAACTTTCCAGGAAAGATGCAATTTGGATTAATCCTTGCCTTATTTCTAGCGAATCTCTTCTTCTTACTTGGGCCTATTTCTCTTGAAGTTCCAAAGCTGTGCATAGCAATTGGAGTACTGATTCACTACTTCTTCTTGGCTGCATTCATGTGGATGATCGTCATCGCAAGAGATATGCAATATTTATTTAGTGAGTCCAGTTTCAGTAAAATATCAGATAGAAGCTCTAAGGATTTAGTGTTTTATGGTGTGTTTGCATGGCGTGTTCCTTTAGTATTCATAGCCATAGCACTGACATTGGACTACACAAATATTGACCAGGATTTCAAACCATTATATGGTCAAGGTGTCTGCTGGATATCCCAAAAATACCCCCTACTGATACTTTTTGCTATTCCTATAGCTCTTATGATTATCATCAATTTGGGATTTTTTATTCCAACTGCCAATTCACTTTGGAAATCCATGGCTAAACGTGCAATGACAACTATGGAAAAGAAGCACAAATACCCATTCTCAATTTACTTGAAATTGTTTGCATTGATGGGTTTCACGTGGGTGTTTGCATTCATTGCTCCATTCGTTCCCGAACTTTGGTATGTGTTCATCGTACTCAACTGCAGTCAAGGTGTTTATATATTCCTGGCCTTTGTCTGTACCAAACAAGTGAGGGATCATTTCTCATTGAGGTGGAGTAGTTGGTCGAGTTCATGGAGGTCTCAATCTACTGCAGTGAACTCTCACTCAGAGGTCAAAGGTGAAGGAGGTGAGATAGGTTCAAAGGTCAAGGGCAAACTTGACATCACTGATGTGCAAGTTAAATTAGCAGAAAATGAACCACATATAAATGCGAAAGAGGAATCTACAAAACTGTGATTGTTGACTATGAGAGGACAAAGGTCAAAGTTATGCGATGGGGTCAGAGGTCAGAGTGATGTTATTAGTTCAGAGATTGAAGTTCCAAGGAATGAGATGTTTTCCAGGGATAAAGATAAAAGGTCAAAGTAATATGAATTGTTCAAGTGTCAAAAAGAGGTCAAAATCAGGAAATATTTGGTTTGATGATTTTTGTTATTTTAGTACCCCACACAAATTTTTGATATTAAATTTGACCCATGATTTGAAGACTATCCTACATTATTTGTTATCAAATTTAGCACAAATAAACTAGATATAAATTAATTTATTTCCCTTGGACCAAACATTTAGATCAATCTATTTGGCATTCATTCAATCAGACAGCATTGTGGTTCTATAATTCTGACTTGTTAATAGTATACAGAATCATGTACATTTATATTATATTGAATAATACATATTTATTGAGAAACATAATTGAGATAGAATGGGCTCTGCAAAGTCAGAGATTTATAAATGATTAGTTTGGATCACTCTTAGAGTACTACGGTTATAAATCAAATATATATTTTTATATTGCATGTTTACATAAATTCTGAAAATATAATTAATGAGTTCATAGAGGATACCCCATTATTCATGAGTTATGTGATTTTTATCCATCAAATGGATCATAGGATGTTCTTTTTATTCTACAGTTAAAGGGTTCCTAACCTCTAGTATTATATTATAAATGTCCACTGAACCATTTTTACTATTAGCCACATTTTGAATTAGATTATCTGTTAACCATCAGATACATAAGGGATATGTACTGGGAGGTTTGGATACAGGTTTTATTCCGAGGAATCCTAGATCCAAAACCGACCATACATAACAGATGTGTTCCATACATTCTGAAGTTCTTGGTATAATTCTACTTCCTAAGATTCCAAAATTTTCAGAAATAGATTTTTGTACCATTAATTTTAATTTTCAACAACGTTTTTCAAAAACCATAGTGAAAATTTTCTCATTAGAATTCTCAAAATCGGTATTTAAAAATTGTGAAGCAAGGCCAGAATGGATACAGCCTGTGTTTCCTTGTCCTCAGCGATAAAAGGATAGATACAGAAAATATCCATCCTGGTCCCTAGATAACTATACATTCCCACACATTATACATTCCCACACATTATGTACCCAGAACTTCAGTAGGTTTCGGGAATAAATTACCATGTATTTGATGGTTGAGTAAATGATTGATGTGAATATCACAGTAATTGTAAAATAAAATATCAATTATTATGATAAAATAAACTGATAAATTAAAAACCACCTACCTTGTTTGAGCTTTGATAACATGGACTTCTCAGCATCTACTGATGCACTCTTGCCAACAAGTAACCTCTTTGCCAAGTCTTTTTTATAAAACGCTTCAAACACATCTTTTCCTGAAAATAGTAATGCATGTACATGTACAGTACATGTTAAGATTAATAGTTTAAAAATGATTGACAAGGAAATTGATTGATATTTTAAAATGAGTGAAACTTTGTTACACTTAATCATTCCATTCGTGAAACTTGCCAATTCTAGCAAATATTAGTAATAATATAAATCTTGGCAATGCCATCAAAATTATGGACTACTGATAGACAACATTTTTCTATCTATTGGGTCACCCTGTATGATTGTAAATGGAGTACATACCATGAATAAACCTGAAGAGCACCATGATTTTGTCAAGCAGTCGTTCTAATTCCTCCTCTGTAGCCTCCTAAAACAATAACAAATACAAACATACAGTACATTATAACTAGCCTCCTCAACATTGTAAAATTACAAACTGTAAACGTTAATGGCTCGTTAAAGATATATCCCTGGGGACAAATCACATAATGAGCCATTCCGCGTAACACGTGGTCTTGCATTAAATGTCTTCGATCGGATAAATAGTTTATTTGAAGACATACGTAATGAACAGCACTGACCTGCTCAGTTCATGTACAACTAAGATACGCCCAGCCGACAAGAGAAATCGGTTCCAATATTAATTGATGTTTTAAAAAATTATAACAACTTTTCCAGTTTTGGAGAGGTTACTTCCTAAGGGTTTGTAACTCTTCAATCCACAAGTATACACTTTCTAATTGGTGGCATAATTCATATTGAACTCACTGAAGGTCGGTAGCACAATTCACATATTTAATGGCAAGTTCTGATTCCTGAAACTAACCTTATTCCCTGCTCGTAGCTTGAAGTCAACATATTTAGCGATAAGTTCCGCTGGTTTATTCTGCCTCTGATTTATAAAATGTTCAAATGATTCCTTCATGGCATTCACAAATTTTTCATTCTTCTGGAAACATACTGCAATAATGGTGTCCATCTTATCCTTGAAATCTGGAAAGGAAACATGCGACAAGGTGAACAATGTCTTACTAAAAATTGTCATATCAGTTTCTCTGGAAATGCACAGATGAGAAAAGTGAATAGCCACTTCCCACCCACCAACCAGAGGACAATAAAGTACCTTAGAAGGCTAAGAAGTTTGTTGAAAGGAAACTTTGGCAAAATTGCCTTTAAATTAGCACTGACAAAAGACCACATGCAGTATGGCAAGTGATTTTAGACAGTCATATCTTTCACCATGAGTACTTTCTAGGCATAAATACAGTGGTTTTTATTAAAACAATGTTTTCTGTCAAGTGAAGTACCCATGATGATAAAAAAATATCAATCTAAAAATTATGAATAGGGACCCCATGTCAACATTTTTTTCAATATATTGAACCTATTTAATTCAAAAGAGGATCTCCTTTTTCTGATTTTTATTGCATGAAAAGATTATTCAACAAGGAGTCTAAAACATCTTCAAAAATATAATGGTATTGAAAGTCTAGTTTTGAAGATATCAACTTTCGATGACCAAAATAACATTGGATATGTGTTTTTTAACTTTAACGCATTTCAATACGCATCCTCTTTTCAGAAATTGTTAATATAGTGTAGAAGAAACTTTCGATACGTTTAAATTGAGAAAAACAAGATCCTCTTTTTAAAAAATAAGCCTAACATTTTTTAAAAAGTGCCAAGGTGGGGCCCTAATCCATAATTTTTCAGAGAGTTGGATTTATATTTTACTATCATGGGGACTTAACTTGAAAGAAAACATATTGTTTTAATAAAAACCATTGTAGTTATGGCCAGAAAGTACTCATGGTGAAAGATATAACTGCCTAAAATCACTTGCCATACTGCACATGATTGGACCTTTATTTTACCGAATGTCCAGGTGATGAATGATGATGATGGTTTCTTGATGAAAATGCTACAAGCCAATTGTCTGGCTTTATACTGGTGGTGCCCTGTAAAATGTGTTTCATTGTACTGATCTTCAAATGTTGTGGCAGGAGTCATGAAATTAATAAAAGAATTGGCAAAATTTTCCACTTCCCGAATGGCAACCATTTTGACTTGAATCTTTTCACTTAATGATTGCAACAATTGTTTAGTGTCTGCATTAATGAAATAATTTGGAATGGAATTGAACTGAAGCAATGCTGATGTTGAATCACAACTGTAAACAAAAGACATAATTAAATACAATGATTGTTCGAGGATATAAAGTCACATGATCTACTAAGTGCCAAACAAGGTCAAAACAATAAAAAAAAACTTCAGATCACCGTGCAAACATCTGGGAAAACTGGTTGCCAAAAAGTGAACAGGTGTTCGCTAGAGAGGTGTTCACTAAGACAGGTTTTACTGTTTATATGGTTTCGAGCACTGGTCTTTCAAATGTTTGTATCATCGCTCATTGTCAATTTAAATATGGAAATGAAAGATAAGCATTTTCAATCATCAAATGTTGAGCTAAACAAATAATAACCATGGCAACCATTCATCAATTGTGAGTGATTTGTTACCTAGCAACTGTTGCACTAAATCTTTATCTTTTTCCTGGTCATCTTCTGGGTTAACTACATATAGTCTACCAGTTTTCTGAAAATATACAGATTACATAATTAACATTCAACCATCCCGAACATGAACCTTCATGATTGATGACAGTTAATCTTACTGTAGTCAACTTCATGAAAACCAACAGTTTTCTGAACTAATATTATATCAAGTATATTACAAAAATCTAAAATGTAAACTTGTAAAGGCAAAAAACACAATGGACTGAATTTACAGTGTTCAGTTTCAAAAACATCTGAATGGCTACTCCCTTGTAAGGTAAGGGTGTACCAAAAATCCACCCCATCTTACAATGCATATCTTTTTAACCAATTTTTAAGTTAACAAGTTTCCTCACTGTAGCACTTGTATGGCCAATTTGCTAGCCATTTAAAGAATATGCTTCAAATGGTTACCACCTCTCTGTAGACACAGTGAGACTTCCACACGTCATGCAGAGTTGTTGAGAACACAATGAATAGTCGTTAATAGCAAGAAACATGCTTTTAGGGTGACCATGCTACTGATGAAGTGCCAACCAATTCATTATGACAGATGCGCTATATGGTGTACTTTGGGTAAGCACTAAATCGTTGTCTCAGACTTCATTAAAACTGAGGAAGGACTAGCTATAACCTTATAAACATTTTATTGCTGTATTTCAGTCACAAAACTGATATAGAAAATCTACATCCCACTGGTAATCCCTATATTTTATGCTGCACATTTCTCTCAATTTTGTGAAGCTACAGCCGCTGTATTGTTGCTCTAGATCAAATGTGACTCGAGGCATTAATAGGCTCACCTTTATATAGGCAGCAGTCCCAGTACACAACTCTTTCAGGCCATCTTTCACACGACTGAACAATTGGTAGAGTAGAGTGAGATCATTTGTTCTGTTCTGTTCCAATAGAAGATCTAAACCTAAAGTAAAATACAAGTCAATATAGTCATATAGGCCATCTTTCACACAACTGAACAATTGGTAGAGTAAAGTGAGATCATTAGTTCTGTTCTGTTCCAAGAGAAGATCTAAACCTAAAGTAAAATATAAGTCAACATAGTCATATAGGCCATCTTTCACATGACTGAACAATTGGTAGAGTAGACTGAGATCATTAGTTCTGTTCTGTTCCAAGAGAAGATCTAAACCTAAAGTAAAATATAAGTCAACATAGTCATATAGGCCATCTTTCACATGACTGAACAATTGGTAGAGTAGAGTGAGATCATTTGTTCTGTTCTGTTCCAAGAGAAGATCTAAACCTAAAGTAAAATATAAGTCAACATAGTCATATAGGCCATCTTTCACATGACTGAACAATTGGTAGAGTAGAGTGAGATCATTAGTTCTGTTCTGTTCCAAGAGAAGATCTAAACCTAAAGTAAAATATAAGTCAACATAGTCATATAGGCCATCTTTCACATGACTGAACAATTGGTAGAGTAGAGTGAGATCATTTGTTCTGTTCTGTTCCAAGAGAAGATCTAAACCTAAAGTAAAATATAAGTCAACATAGTCATATAGGCCATCTTTCACACGACTGAACAATTGGTAGAGTAGAGTGAGATCATTTGTTCTGTTCTGTTCCAAGAGAAGATCTAAACCTAAAGTAAAATATAAGTCAACATAGTCATATAGGCCATCTTTCACACGACTGAACAATTGGTAGAGTAGAGTGAGATCATTAGTTCTGTTCTGTTCCAAGAGAAGATCTAAACCTTAAGTAAAATACAAGTCAATATAGTCACCCTTAGGAAAAATGTTATGGGTATTACCCATAGTGTTATCCATAATAGTGGTAATTCATTAGGTCATTTATGGTTTATATGTACATAACCCATAGTGTTACCCATAATGTTACCCATAACCAATAGTTATGGTTAAAACTTACATGTTAAAACAATGATATACTCATAATTTAACATAAGTAGATGTAATGGGCTCAGCATGGTTAGTGACAATGTGTTAATTATGTGTTACCCATAAAGTATGGGTACTCTACATTTTCAGCTTTGTTTATATTTTTCTGAAGGGGGAGACACTATTCTTAAGGGGACTCATCTCTAACCTAGCCGATTTGGAGGTACCCTGAACGCACTGTTTATGTTTCTTTTTTCGGAAGTGTTTCATATATGCTTTCATTTAATGTAAAAAACACCGAATGTTAGCCATCAAAATATTTCCCTACATCGTCTGAAAGATGGGTGTGACGTTACGGAAAAAACGCCTCGATTTACCCGCTTCACTAGAATATGCTTGCTTTAAAAGCGCCACGTTCTTATTTTATCGATGATTGATAGGAAAATCGTCACACGGCCACCAAGGTTGTTTTTAATTTACGGCATTTGATAAGCTGAAGACTTTTGATGCCAATTAGTTTTTCATGGGCACTAATAAAGCATAGTAAGAACAGCTTAGATAAAGGGTTTTGACCCCTTACCCAAGTTCGGCAGTGCAATTGACGCCATATAAAATTATAATTGTATTCCAATTTTCATAAACTTTGACATTTTCTGAGGAAAAAACTAAAACATTGACATGTTGTTTTTATTGTTTCAAACAAAAGTTCACGTATCCTTAAATAACATTTGAAAATATAAAAAGGTTCCACCGTCGATTTTTTCTGTTATTTAGATCTAAAATTTCGGCTTTTTCTGATATTTTTATGAATGTCATCGATTATCTCCAACAATAAATGTTTATATTGCTCACCGGTAAGGTTTTGCCATACGCGTATTAGACATGTGAATCATTATACAGCCGCTTAAAATGTCTTTGATTAACTTCAGTTTGATCATCTGAAGAGTTTGAGTTCCAAAAAAATTCGATTCGGGGTAAATAAAGCATTTTTATACCAATATTTTTAAAGGCCTCTGACCCCTTACCCAAAATCGGCAGTACAATTGACGCCATATCAAATTTTAATTGACTTTCAATTTTCATAAACTTTGACATTTTTTGAGGAAAAAACTAAAACATTGACATATTGTTTTTATTGTTTTAAACAATAGTTCACGTACCCCTAAATAACATTTGAAAATATAAAAAGGTTCCACCGTCGATTTTTTCTGTTATTTAGATTCCAAATTTCGGATTTTTCTGATATTTCTTAAGAATTTCATCAATTAACTCCAACAAGAAATATAGGTTATTTACTGGGAGGGATTGAATATGGGTTTTATTCCGAGGGACAATATGATATTGACCGAAGGGTAATGTGATATTGACCGAGGGAGCGCAGCGACCGAGTGTCAATATCATATTTCCCAAGGTCAATATCATATTTTCCGAGGAATAAAACCCATATTCAATCCCGACCAGAAATAACCCTATTTATTCCATAATACATTCCTCCTAAAAATGTTACATTTGGATAATGCTTTCAAGGTTAAAAATAACCGGGAAAACCAAAAATAGGTTAATACGTTCCAATACGATTTTTGTCCCGGGGACAATACGATTTTTCCATGTAATACGCTCCAATACGATTTTTTTCCCGGGGACAATACGATTTTTTCATGTAATACGATTCAATACGATTTTTATTCCTTCATATTTCCCTGGGAAAACAGTAGTATTATGGAATAAATGTTTATATTGCTCAGCGGTATGGTTTCGCCATACGTGTTATTGGGCATGCGAATTATTTTACAATCGTTTAAAATGATATAAATGCAATGCGTTTTATTATCTGAATAATTTAAATATCAAGAAAATTAAAATTAGGGTAAATAAAGCATCACAAGACCAACCTTTAAAAAGGATTGTGACCCCTCACCCAAGTTCGGCAATAAAAATTACGCCATGTCGAGCTTAAATCACCTTATTACCATAAACTTTGACATTCTTTGAGGAGAAAAATAAAACTTTGACATATTGTTTTTATTGTTTTAAAGTCCCCGATAAATCGGGCTACGTATACCGCCGTGTTTACATTAGGGGATTAGAAGAGTTTATTTTTTATTTAGGTATGCAACCTACGTATATCAATATTAGGCCTTCATCCATGTACTCGTGTGCATGTAATCAGCATGCCCTTCAATATTATGTAAACCAGGCTATTCAAGTACTGTATAATGTACACTATTTATGTGTGTACTACATACAATACAATTCCCTGGGGAAACAAAACACAAATACTTTTTATATGTTCAAAATGAGCCATTTGATTGATGCAAACACTAAATAGCTTCATAAATAACATCTACAAAGTATATCTTATAGTAATTTTCAATTTCAATGGTGAAACTTCCCTGGTTACGATTATATGGGAAATCATCACGAGACGAAGATCGTTCGCCTTCCTGGCTTACCTCTGAATCGTGTACTCGGTAATCTCTTTATATAGTTTAGCGAGAGCGGTGCGCCTGCGCAGTTTTAAACTTTGGCGCACACTTTAAACAATAGTTCACGTACCCCCAAATAACATTTGAAAATATAAAAAGGTTCCACCGTCGATTTTTTCTGTTATTTATTTTCGGAGTTTCGGCTTTTTCTTATATTTTCAAGAATTTCATCAATTATCACCAACAAAAATTTTTCAGTGCGAAACGGTATGATCTCGCTATAAGCTTACGTGTTATTGGGCATGCGAATCATTTTACAATCGCTTAAAATTATATAAATGCAATGCCTTTTATTATCTGAATAGTTTGAATTCCAAGAAAATTAAAATGAGGGTAAATATATTAAAGCCCTATAAGACTAACATTTGTAAATGGTTCATGACGCCATGTTGAGTTTCAATCCCCTCTTTATTTCAATAAACTTTGATATTATTTCACGTAAAAAATCGATGGTGAAACCTTTTTTATTTTAGATGTTATTAAGAGGCACACAATTCGGTGGCTGTACCGTAGGCTAAAACGATTTTTTTAAACATCAGTAATATATATGGGAATACTAACCAATTTCCAAGGTAATATTTAATGAAACCTTATATATTAAATTGCTCATACTAATGCCATTTAGCGAAAAAAGCAAGTGACATGCTAGTTTGTCTGTAAAACATTTGCATTCTTGTTATACTGCTGGAATATAACGAACTAAGCTTGAACGAATACAAGAAAACAAAGCAAACACCCAAATTATACAATTATTTGGGAAATCAGTGACGTATAGTTCATTTGTTTGTTTAATTGTTGATGGGGCAATGTGCCACTGACGTCACAGATAATGGTACCATATTCCAAGAATTTGTGAGCAAGAGTGTTATATGACGTCATGATAAAACACTGCTTCAAGTGAGGAGCTCATAGTTGCTATGAGCTACTATGTCGTAAAGTGTCACATACCGTTATTCAGCGTCATTAACATTTAATTATAAAACGCTTGTCAAACGTGAAGTTAACAAACAAGCTTTTTCTGAAGATGTTTATTTTCTGTTCTGTAATTGGCAAGTATATCACCATTGTCGTAAGGGTTAGAGATGAGTCCCCTTAATAGAATGCTCAACAATATGACAAATATTTTCATATCATTTATACCAGTTCAATATATTTCTTTATCCCATGATTAATGTGTTATCTGTACAATAACGGCTATTGATATTTCTGATATTATTGAAATCCGTGTGATATTTTCCAGAAAATCGTTTATCAAACTCATATGCGTGTGATATCATTTATCTCACGCATATCCGTGTGATATCACATTTGCATTTCGCGCCACAATACGAGGGTTGTCCCAGAAGTAATGCACTAAATGCTCTAACTTTATCAATAATTGATATTTTTCCATGAAATTTTCAGTAAATGTTCCTTAGAGACATTTTGATTATTCTAAAAATTTTCATGTTGACTGATAAAACTATATTGATGTTATAATAAAATCAAGTTGGTGAGTTTGGGTAGGGCGGGGCAGGTTATACAGTCACGTCAAAAGGAATTAAAAATTGAAAATATGAAATAATTAATCGACAAATACCATTTGGTGTAGCTATAAGAAGTATGCTCAAAAATACATTTTAAGATACTAAATTACTATGAGCACATCCTAGATTAAATGGATGTATATTGCACAGTGTCCCAATTCACATTTTCTCAAAATATCGCCCTTTGCATGTTATTTACTTTTGATGCCTGTCAGGTCAAACACTCTCGGCAATTTCTTCCACTGTGACTTGTGGAGTTTTTGCCTCCCATGTTTGGAGTTGTCATACAGGGTCAAATCGTCTCTTTTAAATCTCTTCTGCCACCTCATAATTGTACTTCTATCTGGTATATACTCCTTATATACTTTCTTCATCGTAGCATTGGTTTGCGTGGCTGTGAGTCCAAGTGAAGTATGAAATTAGGCCACTAAACGCAAGGCCTTCTGTTATTAGGTGAGAATTGCAGCCATTTTTGCAATTTCTTGACTTTGACTGTATTTGAATTCGTGACTATTGAAATGTGGTATTATGAAACCACAGTGCTAAATGTCATTATTCATACTTGGTTAACATCATGCTGAATAAATTTAACAATTTTTCAAACATTTTGACCATTTAAAGGAGAGAAATATTAATAAAATAACACTTATGATCTTTTCATAATTAGAAAAATTGGTACCTGCCCCGCCCACCCCTACCCCCATGTTGTTATAGCAACCATATTAAGACTTAATATTAATGTTGGATGCTGAAACTTCAGGATATAATAGATAAAACTTCAATTGTTATATACACAAAATTTCAGCTGAATTGAAGAATATTTAAGAAAGTTAGAGCATATAGTGCATTACTTCTGGGACAACCCTCGTATTGTTGGAAATTAGGTCAGATAATTTATTCTCTTTTGAGAAAATAGGTCCGTTAATTTATTCTCTTTAAGTTTCATCGGTGTATTGAATTATGATTGTGTATATAATTTGATTAGAACGCTGCTAACTAACGATTAAAAATGGTATTTATGACAAACTATATCATGTACAGAAAGTAGTGCATATTATGTTCAATTGGTATTCTAATTTCTAGTTTATATTGTCTGCCAATGTCCTGGAAATTGGATCAGAACATCACAAGGTGATTGTAATCATGGGATAAACCCAATATCACATAATTTCTTGTGATATCATTTTATCGCCTCGTAGATATCAAATATCAACACTCATTCGCTTCGCTCACTCGTGTTGATATTTGATATCAACTCGGCGATAAAAATGATATCACTCAAAATGATGTGATATTCTGTATATATTGTTAGGACCAGGATAACAAACTAAATTATATGTGCATGTTTTGCATTGAACAATTGGTAGAGAAGAGTGAGATCATTTGTTCTGTTCTGTTCCAAGAGGACATCTAAACTTAAAGTAAAATACAAGTCAATATAGTCATATAGGCCATCTTTCACACGACTGAACAATTGGTAGAGTAGTGTGAGATCATTTGTTCTGTTCTGTTCCAATAGAAGATCTAAACCTAAAGTAAAATACAAGTCAATATAGTCATATAGGCCATCTTTCACACGACTGAACAATTGGTAGAGTAGAGTGAGATCATTTGTTCTGTTCTGTTCCAATAGAAGATCTAAAGCTTAAGTAAAATACAAGTCAATATAGTCATATAGGCCATCTTTCACGCAGCGAAGTAGATCTTTTCCTTGAACAATAGATAGTAGACACTTGTATATTCAACAGAAGTAGAAATCAGAAACATCGTGAAAATGTCAATTCTTCAAACTGCTTGCCTTGAACTGCAGAGACAGGAGTAATTTTATTAAAATTCCTGACATTATTAATCAATATAACAGTTAATTCCCCAAAAGTTTTTTTCTTGGCAGGTTTCTAAATAATTATTTAGTTCATTTCATTCACCCAGTTGCCTTAATTGTGGGGAGATCACGATGTAGTGAAATGATTTAAATTTTAAACATACCTTTTTGTAGTAGAGCTGATAGGTGTTTCTCAATCAACTGCTTCTCTACACATGCGACAAGAGATTTTCTGCAAATAACACATACATACATCTAATCATATGAACATGTACATTGTGTATTATCAGTTATTCTATAGTTAGCATGATATTCATAGGATAACATGTCAAAATAAAAACGGTATTTTTGTAATCAGTGGTAAAATATGATATTGTGACAAATTTTCTCATTATCATAGCATACGGCACTGATGAATTATGGATTTTTGCTACTTCAGACTCAAAACGAGGCTAAGTGTCAACATCGCCGTATCGTTTGAAAAATTTGAATTAAATCACTTAATTTCTGATGATGACTTTAACTACGGAATAAAAAAAGAACATCCTATGATTTACTCGTGATATGATTTTAATCCACTCATGGATATTGATATCTGCACTCTCTCGTGCAGATATCATATCCATTCGTGGATAAAAATCATATTACTCATTAATCATAGGATATCCTCTATTTATCACACATTTCAGCATGTGATACAGGAAATATTCCACAAAAGGTAACATTGTATTATCCATGAAAGCTTAAGGGTGTCAGTCATGTTATAAATATGAAGGAAAAAAGTTTTCTTATTTCTTATTGTCCAAGGATTTCCTCATTTTTTTATACATGCGATGAGCATATGATAAATACAAACATCCAGAAACACTGCTACCCACCTAGTTACACAGACGTATCGTCAGTGTATCATGGCGGAACTACTTCCGGGATTTGAATTCGGTAAGATATTTTTATTTCTCGATTTACATCTACTTATAAATCACGATGTGGATTATAATTTGGCTCAAAGTTATGGGAGATAGTCTAGTTTGAGAATGTGTCGATGGTTTTAGGTTTGGTATGTTAACGAAGACGCATTTCACATATTTAGTCCCTCGCTTTTGTTACACTGACGATTGGCATTAATATTGCCAATATTACACTGATATTGGTCGTTCGTCAGTGTAACAAAAGCGAGGGACTAAATACGTGAATTGTGTCTTTGTTAATATATAAAACCTTAAACCATGGACACATTCTAAAACTAAACTATCTTCCTTAACTTCGAGCCAAATTATGATCCACAACGTGACTTAAAAGTAGGTGTAAATAGGGAAATAAAAAATCTTACGGAAACCTAGTCCCGGAAGTAGTTCCGCCATGATACACTGACGATACGTCTGTGTAACTAGGTGGGTAGCAGTGAGAAACATCAAACATTTAACTTTTTCATGCTTTGGGAGTTTACTTACTTAGTGGACTGGTCTAAATAATGTAGAAGACGTTCACTCTCCTCATTAAGACGCTTCTCAACATGTCCTAGATACTCAGGGACCTGTAATGATACATATCTATTTAACATATGTTTTCATTGTGGCCCCTCACATGTGTAATGTGATCACATTTGAGCTACAATATAGGTTACCAAGGTTGGCCCTTAACATGTGTACTGGATATAGTTTCTTGACTGAAACCAATGAAAGTTTATTCCACAATTACTGTAAAGAGACAGAGTTCGACTTATAAACAATAAACATATTTTCTAGAAATGACTGTAGTTTCACAAAAGACATGTTTGCAAAAATTGTAAAATACATTGACTGTAAAATAAAATCCGTAAAATGGAACACCTTTGCGGTAGAACATTTCTACAAGTGAAACACCTTATCGATGTTCTGTTCCCCATTAATTTTGAGGTTCTGCAGGTGTTCCATTTACACATTTTTTACAATACAGTAAAACCTGTCCGATGGAATACCTCTCTGTAGGGAAAACCTATGAACAAGGAATGCTTTTCAAAAGAACCAAATATTTTTCCATTGACTTACATGTTAACGGACCCTCTCTGTAGGGAAAACCTGTGAACAGGGAACAAGGAACACTATTTTGGGGCAAATTATAAAAATTCACCTGTGAACAAGGAATATAGAATATTGATGACACTGTATATTCCATTATTTTTCAGAGGTGTGAAAGTCTTAAGCCAATATCTGAATATAAAAAGCTTGGATTAATATGATTGAGATTAAGATAAGCCAATTGCTTACATGATGTAGCATCCCACCCACTGTTAATTACCCTGATTTATTTTAAAACTAATACTAATCTGTTTGTTACTTATTATCATGAGCTAATTCTTCCTTTCAAAAACCTAATTACATCAAATCAGTTGTGATAATCTAGGGACTGACACAATTGTTTTATGGAGATAACAGAAAGTAAGTACATGGTCATGTTGAGCCAAATCTCTTTAGATCTTTTACTGATCCAACTTCTAGATTATCAATGATATAAAATGGGGTTGATGAAACTTGAAATTCAGTTCTTAGCAATATATCTCTACATATCATATCAATAATTACATCAACTGGACATCATCAGACGCTAACAGCAGCTTAACTCAACATGGGGAAAACATAACCAAGTATGGAGTCGGCATTTGTACAATCAATCAATATATATACAAATATGCTTATTCGGCAAGTTTGATTTTGCTGAAAGTGTGGCCCCTCTCTATAGGGAAAACCTCTGAACAAGGAAAGTTTCCTCCAGTCCCAAGAGCATTCCCTGTTCGCAGGTTTTACTGTACTTACATCTCTTTCACATTTTTTACTATACTTACATCTCTTTCACATTTTTTACTATACTTACATCTCTTTCACATTTTTTACTATACTTACATCTCTTTCACATTTTTTACTATACTTACACATTTTTACTATACTTACATCTCTTTCACATTTTTTACTATACTTACACATTTTTACTATACTTACATCTCTTTCACATTTTTTACTATACTTACATCTCTTTCACATTTTTTATTATATGTACTTACATCTCTTTCTTGCATCAAGCGTTGACCCTCCAGAGCATATAAGCTTTCTGTAGCTTCAAGGAACTTCACTTCAAAAGCATTTTGGTAGATCTGAAAATAATAAGGCAACTGTTTGATCCTCCAATCAGAAAACCTAATTTCTCAAATAAAAATCGCTCTTCGTTCATGTACAATCTTTTTTGCCCATTACGGTACTTTCAAGGTACGATACATACACAAATACTTACATATTGTTATAAGTGTTTCAAATATGGTCACAATAAAAAAATCTCAAAACAAGGAGGATTGGCTGTGCTTACTTGAGCAGGAATGCTGTATTAGAAATGTATGAACTGTAAAATATAACCTATGAAGATTAAACAGCAAAAAGACTTTATTCAGTTTTCATAGACCCATAAGGATTCCACTATATTCTAGGCCTATCATAAGAAAGAGTGTACCATAACCAGAATGAGATGGCTTAAAGCAACAAATTTCAAATTTCCTGAAAATCAAATGGCGAAAGCCGCGGGCCAAGCAAGCGGTGGGTTTGTTGGGTTCCCTCCAAGAAATTTTGGAAAAATGAGATTTGATTGAGTGTTTTTTAAGAGTAATGTAGACCCAATACATATACTTTCAAATTTGGAGGAAAAAGTATTTTCATGGGGAAAAAAAAAAAAAATGACCTTTGATTTTCTTAAACCTTGGCTTGACCCCCTACTCCCCCAATCTAGAAATAAATTCAGATTTGCATTGAACCATTTTGGTCAGTTTTTTCCTAAAATTCCTGAATACTTTAAGCCATGGATATGATATATGCATGGAAATGATTCATTCCAACCATACCTGCAGATCAGAAAGCATTCTTAGTAGACTTTTCAATAGTTGTCTGTCCACAGCCTCTCCATTCCGTTCTCTTTCTATCAACAACAATAGGCCATCTACACAACGCCCCTGGACAACTCTGTTGCTTATTATATGCTGACGAAACAATTCTAGACCCATATCCCTTGAATATAAGAATACATATTATTATTGTCTAAATTATCATTTATATAAATAGTACAAGTGTACTCCTTTAACTTTTGCACTGTAACAACTATAGAACAATAAATTCAAATATGAACTACAGTAAAACCAATGTAAATGATAACATCACTGGGATCAAAAAGTGTCATTGGACTCAAAAGCTGTTCAACTTACAGAGGTGTTCCACTTGGCAGTTTTTACTTTCCTTTTAAAGGGTTAAACTATGATGCAAATGGCCTTTTTCTGTTTATGCATGTTAAGGGCCAGGTTGAGAACTTACCATATTCAAGATATGGATGGAATCTGAAAGGCTTTTGAGATATACATATTTGGGGCCAATCTGAAAACTTACCATATTGATGGTATGGATGAATTTTGAAGAACATAGGTTCTGTCCAGGAACAGGAATATACTGCGAATCATGATCTGGAAATAAAAAAATTAAAACATATAATTTTGTAATACGTGAAGCTTTTCGCCTTGGATAATAAGAAATTCAAGCTAACTGGCACTTCTTTACTGATTTGGATTTGTCTATTGCAGGTGTTTATTACTTTCATTCCAAAAGTGTTTATTACTCCAATTTCATGTTTGTTACTAACAGGTGTTTCCTACTCACCATCTGTCTACAGTGGTCTTGCCAGCAAGCATCCATCATTTTCAGAAACTGTTCACTGTCAATTGAGTCAGTACAAACAGTTAAGGATTACTCTTGCAATATTGATTTATATTTCAGTTACAGCTAAATCCATTTATGGTGAGTATTTCTGGGACTATCTTAACATGTTCAGATTGACAAATATTCATATTTACAGCTTCTGACAGCAATTAAACTCAATATGTTCATATACCGTATGGTTCATTGGTTCAATCGACTTAATACCCATTTAATCAAAATAATAACCAATTGTACAGGTTGGTCCAAAAAAATGGGTCACTCGTATTTCAAAAATAAATATTGATTTTCAATTAACTTATGATATACCAAATTAAAGATGAGTAAATTCCCTATCCATTGGTATATAATATGACATGTTTCATCAAGAAAATCAATATTTATTTTTGAAATATGAGTGTCCCATTTTTTTGGACCACCCTGTATGTCTGATCCAAGGACCAGATTCCCTATTAAGAAGCAACATTTTCTGAAATGTTGTGAACATTCAGAAAGAGCAAAGAGCAACACTTAATTAAATAAACAAACATAAAATACACTCAACATAACTTGTTTATCTTAGTAAGAATTGTTTGTTTTCCTGTCATTCTATTGAGCCAAAGTCCAAATATATCTCAACGAAAACAATGTCTCTTTAAATGGAGTAGCATTCCAAACTTAATATTTTCTAGTCCTGACTCGAGTCACAAAAAGTTCCCTCCCCCAATTCTCAAATACATGTTATCAAGTGGGGTATGTATGGGTGATACATTTTACCAGTTTTTGAAAAATGCAAGCAAAACATGAACATCGCCAACTCTGACAGTCACTTCTCTCATTTTAATTTTGAGACTGGTTGTATTTTGTATACAGTACTGTCTGAACACTTCCGTTTTGGCATGTTATACCAGGATAAATCTCTTCATAATTCATACAGAAATAGATAACTGTTTTACTGAATTACCATAATGTATAAATTGAATTTAATTCAAAGGATATACTAGGAACTGGTTGACATTCATCTTGACATGCTGCTCACATACGACCTTCAATTGGTCATACAACGCTACCGCCATCTTGTGAGAGCACATGTTTTCTACAGCCTGAAGTAAGAAAACATGAATTGTAAAAATATGTAGCCTTTTTTAATCAACTTGATGTGACTGAGTCTACATCAAAGGTTCATCATATCACAAAAGAAAGAGTACAGATGAAGTTATTACATACAAAAAGTACACAAGTTCCACTTTTTACTAGTATGCCCATCATATAACAACTTACGAGATGACTTATCTTTGTCTGTTAAACGTATTTTACAAAAACAAGAACTTATTATTGATTATTATTTTGATTTTAGACTAGTGCGCCATACTGGAAAATTCCTGAATGCTGCTCTTATCAAAAGAGCAAGTTTTGTTTAATAATCTTATAACATTGTTTTCAAATATATTGTACAATGTGCCCCATAAGCATAAAATAGGCTGGGTATTCTATACGAGGCACTTAAATAAATAAATATACATACATACATACAAAAAGTACACAGTAAGCTAATGGAGATTATTTACCTGATAAAGTTCCTCTAGACTTGATGTAATGGCTGTACTGTTATGTATGGCTTGAACAGACTCCTTCAGCTTTTCCCATGTCTGCTCCTGGTAGTTATCAGGAAGCTTGGGCTTTTCTGCAACAGATAACATTATGATGTATATATAGACACTATTTGAAAATAACAAGGCACACAGTTACCATTACCAATATTGTATCTTAAAATTTCAACCCCATCTCCTGTGAAAGTCCCATGGGGAAGAGTCCATTAAGACACCTCTCTTGGGCCTCAGTGAAAATCACCTGTTGCCTGCTGCTAATGAAACCCCTGAGTTATCATGACCAATATTGTATCTAAACCAGAGCAACCTTGTATCAAGCTGTGTTTCTCACTTAAAAAATTTCAGCAAAAATGAAAATGGGTGATACAATTGGACAGTCAACTTGATTCGAGAGTGGCAACTCTAAATTTCCGGAAATTATCGATAGTTGTGACTGGTGAATGTATAAGATGTTGAGATTTGATTGGCGAGTGAATTGATGGCCCTTAGTATTTGAGTGGATAATTGAGATGATGGGTACAAAAACTGAGTTGAAGGGCATGAAACTAAGTTGACGGGTAACAGAAAATGAGATGACACAGACCAAATAATGATGACGTCACTTTTTCAAAATTTTATAACTGAGATGAAAGGTAGAGGTACAGCGATGACGGTTATGGAACCGAGATGATGGGTGACAGGCAGCTTCAGTATTTTCCAGAAATTCAGTTGACGGCAGAATAACTTGTGCCTCCCAAGAAAATAGATGGAATGAGTGATTACCGTCATTCAATGCCAAAATCCTGATATCATCCTTGGATGAAGAAATGCAACCAATAGGAAGTTTGCCTTGACTTCTTATTACACAACCAGCCACATTTTGCCGGTACAAAGGCAAACATCATCGACCATGTCAAAATTTAGTCTAAAATTTTACACACCTTTGAAGTTCTTTATTATAAGCTTTTTAGTCGATCCAGGCTTGCTGTTCATGAGTGGAGAAACATTTTTGTGTAAACCATTACTCGGACTCGTTAAAGCCGAGAAATTGGCTCGTCTTTGACCGTCACACATTGTACCAAACTCAGCGTCGTCTCTGAATTTTTTGTGAAGATGCAGACTCGAAGGAGACACTTGGTTTTCGTTCGTTTTTCTCTTCCTATGGTTGTTGTAATCCTCCCTTTTCTTCTGCTCATGCAGAGGAGCTTTGTTTGTGCTTGAAAGAGGCATGCATTCCTTGGATGCGATCCTTTATATCACTTATTTTCACCCTAAAAGTGAGTGACAAAAATATTTTTTGTCAGAAAAGTCAATATGGCGAACTCTCGTCCAAATTCTCGTCTAGAAAGAGATTTCCGCCAGAGGGCGTCGCGTTTCTGGAAATTTGCAAATACTAGCAGCCGCAATATTCATGCATGATTTCCAATAATTTAGGGTCGTAATGACACAAAGAGTCGTAAATGAGGTTCGTGATGGAACCCCCAAGACCACAAAGGTCGAAGAAAAGAAGCCAAAAGAGAAAAGGGATAAAGATGCTATGCCATCAAAAGTAAGGATTCATTTTTTTGGAAGTTCACAAACGAAGCTAGATCTACAGTTGGGGACAAAAATAAATGACAGGTCGATTTTCGATCACCCTTTCCTAATTTCTATTACACTCATCTTATTAAGAGTTCATATCGCATAATAACCCTTATTATCGGATTCCAGCTGTTAGTAGTATTAATTTGAATAAATTAAAACTGAGTAGTACAGCTGAGTGGACATGTATATGCACCGATAACTAAAGTGCTGGTATATATTAATTGATCAGTCGTTTAATTGGCATATTTTCTTCAATTTTAACATTTAATGTCCCAAACTCCCACAAACTGCAGAAAAGTATACCCAATAAATCATATTTACCAAAATGAGTGTCTCCAAGGCTTCACACCAGCGTATGCATAATGCATTTGTCACGAGTTTGAGCTGAAATTTGGCCAAAATGAAGTAGGCTAAGGGTAGTCTCTGCCAGGTTTGTTTATTGTGGTAAGCTTGTGAGTGCTCAGAAGCAAATAATTCACGTGCGCAAATAATCAAATAATCTAATTGGTCTCAACTTTGCTGCACATGCGCACAATGTGTGCCATGTTTTTTTCTAGTGATTTCGTTTCGTTTCATGGAGTTTGCGTTTCAGTGTAACTTCCCCAAAAATGGCGGACCATGGACAGAATTAACAGGTAAAATCACTTCGAAATTTCAAGAGAACTTTTTACCTATAATAGCAAAACTTTTGTTTTATTTGTGCATTCTATCTATCAGATAAGAGTTTCAGGCGTATGTAGGCAAATTCATTTTGGTAGGAGCACTCTGTTTAGTTTGAAAACGCACCCTATATTATTATATATCAGCACTATAGGTCTATTTTTGCTTAGCTGCCAACGGAAACACACCTTTATAGGAGACTAGGCTATTTGTACATAGCTGTAAATAGCACATGGATTTTAGTTCAGATGATCTGCTCGACTTGTTGAATTTTTTCAACAGTCATTTGTTTGCAGTTTTTTGGAACTTTATTTACTAGTCTAGCTACATTTGTTTGGACTTATGAACCATTAGTACGGCCCCTAGTGCTCCTGAAATAATGTATTTGGACAGGTAGGGAAATATTATGATTTTTCAAGTTGGAAGTTTGAATACTGTAGGTCTAAATGACCATGGTCTATAATGACCACAGTCAAGGTCTAGATGACCACATGTTAGGTCTAAATGACCACAATTTAGGTCTAAATGACCACAGTTTAGGTCTTAATGACCACAGTTTAGGTCTGAATGACCACAGTTTAGGTCTGAATGACCACATGTTATTTCTAAATGAACACATTTTAGGTCTAAATGACCACTGTTTATGTCTGAATGCACACACCAAAGGTCCAAATGACCAAAGTTCAAGGCCTATAAACCAAAGTTTGACCAAGGTTCAAAATGAGCCGCCATCAGAATAATAGTCATATTAGAGGTCATATTACAGTTTCAGCGAGCATATCCAAAGCCTCATAGTAGGTTCAAATTAATAGAATCATTTTTGTTTTGATTCAAGTTCTAGTAATCTAGTGCTTATAGATTCATGTTCTGTTTATCAGCGGTCTATATGTTCAATATGTTTGACTCATTTTTTGAAACAAGTCTGAATTGAAGATAACAGACAAGCATGTAAAATCTGTCCATAAATATTGGTCAAAAACATTATCCTAGTTAGGGCTGCCATCGAACTCAAATGTCAGTGTCGACAGTCGAACTCTGCTGTCGAAAATATTGTCGACAATCGAACTTTCCAGGGAGAAAAAATCATCGGGAAAAAAAGAAAAATTATTTCTGTGTTGTTGGTTCGTTTTTTCCAAATCTATCGGGGAAAAGCTTCATATAACTTATATTCATATTGGTATGTAATTGCCTAATATTGTTACTAAATGCCAAGTTAATAGAATATTATAGACGAAAATGGGACAAATACCTGCAATGTTTCGACCGGGATTTATTTCGACTGCTCGGGCGAAATCTCGTACAACGTCTCGCAAGAGAGAAGAGAAGTCATGAAGGGAACTTCCGGGTGAATTTATTTTTTGAAAATGAAATGAATGTGAACAATATTTCCGCAGAATACGCGCACATAACACGTTGAAATGTGTATTGAAATGTATTGGGGCCATTTGGATATTTTCAAGTAAGTATTGATATCGTTTGCTGTCGACATGACGGGAATTTTTGTCGACTTCGTTGTCGAACTTGCATTTTGACTGACAAGTCGACGTTCCGACTAATGATGGCAGCCCTAATCCTAGTAGATATCAAAATATGAAGAAAAGGCTAGAGCAAATAAGCTATCTAGAAAGTAAATGAACTAAAAATGTTCCTAGTCCCAAAGCAGATAGAAATCTACAATTGCAAAATGGGAAATGGCATATGCAATACTGGTAATGTGTGTCACATGGACTTCCTGAAATAAAGCTCTTTATCCATGGAAATCGGGTTAACAGCCCTAGATCAAATGACAATACTCGTACAATATTTTGATTAAAACAGCTATTGTTGCTAAACAAGGATTTCCCATAACCAACTACTGTAGTTGAAACAAGCTTCATGCTTCAAATTTTCATTTTCAAGAGTGAATTGGAGAATTTTCTGTCTTCATACCATTACCTAACCAAAAAGAGAATACCCCAAGCTGGGCAAAAGAATTGTTTGGTGATGACTCAACAAAGATTTTGTCAAAGACATGAAAACATATTTTTCTAGATCAAAATCGTTCAATAGATTATAAATACAAGTATTTGACAGCCTTTTGAATAGGCCAGTGAAAGCAGAAACTGTCAGCTGCCAATAGCTATACAGCTAGAAGTCATGACAAACAATGTCATTATAGACGATGTCGCTCCAGCACAACTTAGGCTGTAGAAAAATCCTTGTCCAATGACAGGTACGTCAATTTTATTTTTAAAATTAAACCAAAATGGATCTATAAAAGATGAATGTTTTAACATAACATCAGATCTAGAAAAAACAATCTGGAAGTTCACTAAAACAGAAACTTAGGTAAATTACATATACTTTTTGAAGTTTCAAAGTCACCTACATAGAAATATGAAGTATGGTCAAGGTAACCAGAGATTCTGAGAAATGATAACAATATAGCTTAAGTTTTCTAAATGGAAAGCAGCTTTAATATTTCTAAAAACTGCGATTTTAAGCAATCGGATGTTTTGTCCATCCTTTAAAAACAGGAGATTAATTTAACTCTTAAACATGCAACAGAAAAGCAAAGTCAAGCATAGATCAATTTCTGTGTCACATATTGTTACAGGAGAAAGAGGATTGTTCCCAGGGACTCGTTCTCAATCTAAACTCTAAAAAATCTAAACCTTAACCATTTAGTTGGTATGAATATTTCAAAATGGAAGACATGGTAACTCTAAGAAACATGAGATGGCCAAACAATTACCGATGGTGAAAGTCCATGCTAAGGATGCTTATATGACCATAAGCATACATTTGAGGCACAGGAAATAGCTCTGTTGAATGATATAACATCATTTGAGATCATTACTATGGACCTTGCTTCCCTCAAACTCGTGAAAATACCATAAGCACTATTGTGGAATATTTAATTTGGTTTTGAATCTTTTATTGATTCTCTGATGTCATTAACCTCTCGCCTATCTGCTACTCATGAACATGATTTCAAGTTAGTGAAATATTTGTTTCAAACTGAAGTTTCTGATAAATGGGGAAAAGCCTATTGTTGCATTTTTCCCATCATAAAATGGAGCTTTGTAGGTTTGTGATCAATACAATTGAGATGAACTTGAAGGCCTTAATAGATGATAGTTTCTATCAAAATTCTCGCAAAGACTTTGTAGGGATAGAATCAACCCTAGTCAGTAATCTTACTCAAGTTATTGAGATACTTTTGAATTGTACTTTAGTCTGTAATCTGTATATTGAACCTCTACATTTATTGACACTTGCAAAGGTCAAAGCAGTCCTACATGTATGCATTGATTGCCAAAATAACTCACAAAAAAATGAATTCAAAATTTGATAGTGATTGGTCCAAGAAGTCGAAATTCAGAATACTAATAGTGTTATCCAAATCAATAATTACAATAACAACAAAAAAGCAGCCTGTTTGGCTAAAGTTCAAGTCTGACGGGACAGTAGCTAAGGGGAAATAGATTAAACAAGAAATTGTTTCATATGAATGAAAGCCATGGATATGGTAGTGAAAGTATTCACAAAACTTAGACAATGTTATATAAAATTAACAAGAAAACCACGATGACATTATGTGAACAAAATGTGGGGAACGAGATGGCTAGAAATATTAAAAGCAATGCAAGATCGTTCAGATACCTTTGCCAGAGATATCATTATTACCGTATAATATCTTCCAAGGAATCAGAATTGAATGTCAGATCAAACCTAGAGAAATTCCTCGATGCATCAAACTAGAAATAAGATTGGGAGATTTTTCCTAATTGAAAGTTTTAAGGTCCAGATAAATTGATTTTGTCGACCAGTAGAAAATTAATATTTCAGGTGGAAACTAAACCCAGAAACTCTGGAAGTTGACATATTTATTCAGAATAAACAGTCAAATAACTTTCCTCCAATTTCTTAAATCAGCCGATTACTGATTAAAGTGAGACAGAAAAAATGCACAGATATGGCTCTTATAGCCCCAATGTGGCAAATGGCTCTGCGGTATCTATAATTGTTGGAAATGTTGGTCTGTATGCCCATCTTATTGCCAAACCATATGAAATTACTAATATCTAATCTTACAGCCTTTATAAAAAAAGAAGCTACATAACACTAACGGTGTCCAAATTATCATCCTCAAGTTTGAAACTAGAGGTTTCTGTGACAAACTGGCAAAACATGTATGTTCATTAAATCAAGTAAAGAAAGTACTTAAATTACTTCCAAGGACCCCTAAAAAACATGGGTATGCTGCACGTTCTAATAAACATGACATTAATATTTAGCCTCTGATACAAATTTAGCCAATATCCTAACTGAAATGTCAAATCAGGTATGTGCTATTCGTTTCTCGATACTTAAAGTCTGCAAAATTAGCATATAATGGAACCATAGATAGGTAAGTCAATACCATGTTCTGGTTGATTTTATGGAAACTTTTACAATGGAAACCCACTAAATAAAATAAATGAAACTTGGGAAGTGAATAAGGTCGTACTGTATCTCACATTGAACATTCGGGTCAGAACAGAATTCTCAACTGAAAGTACACAATAAGTCATGTTAATGTCTATTTCAAGCATGTATCCCAGGGCCTCTGAAATAACATGCCATTGGATGGTTGTCAAAGACAGAATGTCAACACATAAAATTGGGGTTTCAAGTTTTTTCATGAGAATCCATTTAATGATGTTGTACTAGCATTTAGAAAATACCAGAAACATCTGAAACAAACTACTAGTAGTGGAAGGGAATCATAAGAAGGAAGTTTAAATTATCCTTGTCAAATGTCATGCGATGCCATGCATGTACATATCCAGTAAAACATCTCATATACATACACATTAGCAGTTTCTATAACAATACATAAAGGTCTTAATTTTATAGAATAATAATAATAGATAGATATTTAATAAATACATTTAAGTACATTTGAAAGACATATTTAACCAGGTATGCAGTAACAGTACCATAAACTTGAACATTCGATATATCTACAAACCAAGTGATGGGAAATGCAAATTAACTGAATGCTTAACAATTTTACAATCTGTTAAACTGATAAAGGAAATTAAAGGATTTAGATCAGTTGTTCTGAGGTCATGTTACTTTAAACATGCGATATGAACTCTTAATAAGATGAGTGTAATAGAAATTTTACAATTTCTTAAGAATCTCGCTAATGAAATTATAATTTTATTAACGAGATCTTATTAAGAGTTCATATATTCCCCCCTCGCCCACCCAGTCGTTAATTGTCACTAAAACACAGTTTTGTGTTATTTCAGAACATAACCACAGACAACTGAGTTATGAAGGATAGAATTAACATTCAACAATCTTCATCAAGTCAAATATTATGTATCTGGATTTTTACACTCTCAAAGTTGTAATGAAAGTTTTTTAAAGTTTTAATCTCACAAACAGTGAAAGGTTTATATCCTATACTACACAAGGACTTTATTTTAACTTTGCATCCCACAAAGATTTAGGGATAAATTGGACATCTCACAAGCAGTGGATGTAGTTGTTTTCTTAGTCAAAGAATTCACTGAAGTTTACTCATAGTAAGGTGAGTTTTTCAATGGTTTCAGAATATTAAGTTGGCATCTAAGCAATAGACCTAGTTATCGGTGCATATACATGTCCACTCAGCTGTACTACTCAGTTTTAATTTATTCAAATTAATACTACTAACAGCTGGAATCCGATAATAAGGGTTATTATGCGATATGAACTCTTAATAAGATCTCGTTAATAAAATTATAATTTCATTAGCGAGATTCTTAAGAAATTGTAAAATTATGGTGGTCTGAAAGCCCATAATTTCCAATATTGTCTAGATATATATCCCTTAAAATTTGTATATTTTACATTTTGTATAATCTCAACCACTGATGTATGGCCTCTTGTAAATTCTCTTTTTAACATGGGAAATCCTCACTTCAGCAAATCCACCTGTCATTTATTTATGTCCCCAACTGTAGTTCAACGAGTTAACCTAGTCTGGGCCTTATTTCTTTAAATGACATACAGTTGGGGACAAAAATAAATGACAGGTCGATTTTCGATCACCATTTCCTAATTATGGTGGTCTGAAAGCCCATAATTTCCAATATTGTCTAGATACATATCCCTTAAAATTTGTATATTTTACATTTTGTATAATCTCATCCACTGATGTATGGCCTCTTGTAAATTCTCTTATTTTTAACATGGGAAATCCTCACTTCAGCAAATCCACCTGTCATTTATTTATGTCCCCAACTGTATCTTGTGGCCCGCCCTAGGTTTAACATCCGTGCCTATTCGGCCTTTGATGCAAAATATTTAATGGTGGTCTACGGCAGCGCATGGAATTTCATGCGCGTTTAATTAATAACTGATAGTGAGAATTTGCAACAGATGAAAGGATAGCGCGGAAGTTAAACCCAATCACGGCAACAAGAACATTCAGATTAATAAATGAAAGCCGTGGTATTGGGTTTAACTTGTTGAACTAAAACGAAGCAAGACAATCTTACGACTGAACACGGCTGACTCAAAATTCTGTCAACTCGGTAGAGCAAACAATCACACTCATTCAACGTCAATTGTCGTATTCGTTATTCTCTCTTCAAAAGAGAAGATGCAAAGATTCTCCTTATAAGGTCAACATATTTCCCCTGGAATATTTGCCATGATGCAGTTTGCGGAGAAACAAATTCATACTTCCTTGTTTTCCCCCATAGGTTTAACATCGAGATTTTCACACCTATTTTTCAATCGATATATTCGTTCATATTCCCATAAGGAATTATACAGGAAAAATGAACAGAAACGATTGATCTTCTACTCCTTGTTACGTGTTAAAAAAGTTAAGAACTTAACTTCGATATATTAGTGTTACCTGATGAATGGGACCCTCAAGTGCCTTCCAAATGGTAGTAAACAAACTCCAATGTAACTACATCAGCTTATCTTTCCGTCCGATCAACAATAAGTACAGTTATACAAGAAATGTAAACGAACTGTAAAAATCCCAAAAATGTTCTTCCTGGCTTGTTATTTCCGGAAGTTATGATACCTTATATTACCGAACAAGTGCGAAAATGGAATGTTTGTTCGATGCTCGGATGTTTGCATTTTATTTAGCTCTCGTAAAATGAACGAACAAACATTGACCAATCAAATTTTGTTCTTTTTGAGGGCTTTTTAAGTACATATTTTCGTACCTTCTCGATTAAAGAGTCAACCATGAAAGGCTCAATTCAAGTTCAAGTTGAAACTTGTCCGTCAAAACGATATAGTATGAAATCTGGATAAATTTCCAGAAATATTATCTACAGACAATTGTGATTGGTTGAAGTAAAAAATGTTGTGATCTTGATTGTTGAATGAACTAACAGCCCTTCATTGGATAATTGAGATGACAGGTACGAAAAACTGAGTTGGCAGCATGAAACTGAGTTGACATGTAACAGGAACGAAACAACGTCATTTAAACCATGTGCTTGAAAACCCATGTTTAAACTGATATAACAGGTACATGTACCAGAGAATAAGACGAGGCGTGGGTATATTAATAAAGCTACAGCTATTGAAAATAAGCCAGATTAGTGGTTATTTAGATAAAATTCAGCTTTATCAACCTCTGACATTTTTCAACTGGAAGATTTCAATAAACAAGTACAGTAGTTATGGGGTGATTTGAAAAATGAACCCCAGAACCTTTGTTGTAGCATGGGCTTTCAAGAGAAATGGAGAAAGATATGTATTAAGAAATATATACCATTGTGTTGTCTGCTCAATTTCATTGTGTAATATCGTCTCAATTCTTCTATTTTTAGGTTGTCATAAGACGATTGCCACCAAGTCTCACACCTGAAGCCTTTCTAGAGCAGATATCTCCGATACCAGAACATGATTACTTCTATTATTTCAATGCTGATATGAGGTTAGTTTTCATTTAAAGGTACATTTTAGTTATGCATTCTCACAAATAAGACATTTAAAAAATCTGAAAAATGTGGATGTACAAATGTATAAAGGTTGGACAATATCAGGCCCGTAGCCAGGATTTGCCAAGGGGGGTCCAGTTTTCAAAAATTTCCATGGGGGTTCACATTTGACAATTTTGCGAACCCCCCTGGCTATGGGCCTGAATATGGTGTAAATATTTACATAAAATGTGAACGATATTAACAGTTTCATTAATGATCATGGACTTGTAGAAGTGAATAGCCAGTAATTATCCCAACGAACGAAGTTCGGTAGGGATATAGTGAAGCCCTCCGTCCGTCCGTCAGTCAGTCAGTCCGTCCGTCCGTCCAGAAGATAACTCAAATATTAGTTGACGGATTTTCTTCATATTTGGTGGAAAGATGTATATTGATGAATAGTTTTACGCAAAAAAAAATTTTTCCAAGATGGCCGCCGCTTTAAAAATGACGGGACTTTTTCGTAAAAATCATAAATTTTTCATTCTAAACCAAAGTAATTAATATTATTGTTTGAAATTTTGGTAGTATATTCGCAACATCTATCTATTTCACATATATTCCGTGTTTTTCATCCTGACCCCCAGGGGCCGTGTATGGGGGTCAGGAAAACAACAAATTTATAGTATAGCTTTATTATACTCAAATGAAAGGCAATTAAGAGTAGATTGCAAATATTGTATCTTTTTTCTGATTCAAGCCTCGTAAAATTCAAAATGGCCGTCTAATGTACGATTTCGCAATAATTTTTCGATCCCTTCAAAGTATGGCTATATAATACTCAAATTGAAGGAATTTTGGAGTAGATCACAATTATGGTATTATTTGTCAGATTTGTACCTCAGAAAATTCAAAATGGATTTTTTCAAGATGGCCGCCGCTTTAAAAATGACGGGACTTTTTCGCAAAAATCGTAAATTTTTCATTCTAAACCAAAGTAATTAATATTATTGTTTGAAATTTTGGTATTGTATTCGCAACATCTATGTATTTCACATATATTCCATGTTTTTCATCCTGACCCCCAGGGGCCCGTGTATGGGGGGTCAGGAAAACAGAAATTTTTACATCTTTCTGAAGTATAGCTTTATTATACTCAAATGAAAGGCAATTAAGAGTAGATTGCAAATATTGTATCTTTTTTCTGATTCGAGCCTCGTAAAATTCAAAATGGCTGTCTAATGTACAATTTCGCAATAACTTTTCGATCCCTTCAACGGATGGCTATATATTACTTAAATTGAAGGAATTTTGGAGTAGATCACAATACACTGTATTATTTTTCAGATTTGTACCTCAGAAAATTCAAAATGGCTAATTTGCAGGAATTCGCAATTCTAAAATCTAAATTTTTCAATTTTAACCAAAGTAATGAGTATAATTGATTGGAATTTCGGTAATTGATATTTTGAACCCATCCTCTGATCAGATTATTCGCTTAAGATGCGGAAGCCATTGGTTGATGGCATAATTGATGGATGTATGCGGAAGTACCATTCAACTGCTAGTTATTCTTTCTTTTAGTTCCTCTACATCCCTGATAGGCTGGGTATCTTTAAATACCAAATGTTCTAGATGTCCCCAGGTTTGGTAATCAACATTATTGGCATCTGGACTGTCTGTAAGCCATTTGTCCGGGCTAGAGATGGTGTCATTTCGAATCTCCAAAAACTCCAGGGTAGCATTGGACCTGTGTGATGAAGCACTTTCCCATCAGAAAATGAATTTTTTTCACATGTTTTTTATATCCTTGAGGAGTCCTTTTTAACACCTCATGTCATTAACATTCAGAGTATATTTTTGCTCCTGGTTCAACAAAAAAGGGCCTGTACAGTCTTTCTTTTTTGGGAAACACCGAGTGGACACCACTTCCCTTTCAGAAAAAAGTCATCTCGATTTGAGTAGCCTTTTATTGCAAATGTCCCTATTCTTTCTTACTGGTATATAGAGTCTATCCTGTTGATTACATGTAGTACTTGAGGCATTTAGAACAGTTGGTCTATGAAGATCACTAGCCCTATCAGGGATGTAGACAGACTGAAAGAATGAATAATTACGAGTTCGATGGTACTTCCGCAGAGGTTCATCAATTGGTCCAATGGCTTTCGCGTCTTTAGAGAATAATCCGATCAGAGGATGGGTCCGGGGGTGGGTCTATTGAGCCATATTTGGACGGACTGAAGAAGAAATTAATTTGTTTTATAAGCATACACATGTTTATTGAGCACGAATGGTTCAAATTGAAGGAATTTTGGAGTAGATCACAATTATGGTATTATTTGTCAGATTTGTACCTCAGAAAATTCAAAATGGATTTTTTCAAGATGGCCGCCGCTTTAAAAATGACGGGACTTTTTCGCAAAAATCGTAAATTTTTCATTCTAAACCAAAGTAATTAATATTATTGTTTGAAATTTTGGTATTGTATTCGCAACATCTATGTATTTCACATATATTCCATGTTTTTCATCCTGACCCCCAGGGGCCCGTGTATGGGGGGTCAGGAAAACAGAAATTTTTACATCTTTCTGAAGTATAGCTTTATTATACTCAAATGAAAGGCAATTAAGAGTAGATTGCAAATATTGTATCTTTTTTCTGATTCGAGCCTCGTAAAATTCAAAATGGCTGTCTAATGTACAATTTCGCAATAACTTTTCGATCCCTTCAACGGATGGCTATATATTACTTAAATTGAAGGAATTTTGGAGTAGATCACAATACACTGTATTATTTTTCAGATTTGTACCTCAGAAAATTCAAAATGGCTAATTTGCAGGAATTCGCAATTCTAAAATCTAAATTTTTCAATTTTAACCAAAGTAATGAGTATAATTGATTGGAATTTCGGTAATTGATATTTTGTTCGTTGGGATTTGCTACTCCGCGGAGTTGCCATTATCTAGTTGACTTTGTCATGAATAACCAATGTGTATTCATAAATAATGCTGAACAAAACACAAATTACCACAGACACCCAGTGTTTATATTACCCTTGGTAAAGGGCAGAATATTTTACTTACAAAAAATCGTGGAAAGCAATTATATTTCACACTTGACTTTTTGTGAACTTCAGTGATACCAAAGGTCAAGGCATTCACATTTTTTACTTTGTACAATGTAGTTTATCTCTAATTCATGTATGTAATTTCAGCCTTGGGACCAATGCTTTCTGCAGAGCATACATTAACATTACCAAACCAGAGGACATCATCATATTCAGAGAAAAGTTTGATGGCTATGTGTTTGTAGATGCAAAAGGTTTGTTATTGTGTATAATGGCATATATATATATAAAGTTAGAACAGTCAGATGATTTGAAAATATAGAGCAACCCTGTTGTAAGTCTATTTTGAAGGATATTTTAACCAAACCCGGTAAACCTTGGATTTAACCTCCTGTGAAAAAACCTGGTTTATGAATGTACATGTAAAATAATAGTAATATTTTGCTTGATAAAGAAATATTAACTTGGATCAATGATTCAATATATATTTTCGAACTACCAGACAGAATCTATAACTGCTTCCTTATTCAAGCTATATTTTCTCGATATATGCGATGGTCCAGTTAAAATACATTACTTTTGGTTGATTCCCCTTCATGTTATATCTACATTTGATAAATTCCGTTATATTTCCTCCAATTTACTCTTTTATATTGTTTATTTAGGTAATGAATACCCTGCAATTGTGGAGTTTGCGCCATTTCAAAAGCTGCCAAAACACAAAGTGCCAAAGAAACCTGACTCTAAGAAAGGAACAATAACAGAAGGTATGTTATGATAATGTTTCACTCCAAGGGTTCAACTTTCATGTTATATAATTAAGGAATAGAATAAATACCAAATATTCCATTCTATTGAGGTGAATACATGTTCATCTTTCCCTCAGTATATTTCCCGCAGCGCGAATGTGAAAGCGAGAAACATACAATCAATGATATAATAAAGACTGATATTCTATAATTTATGGTGGAATATATGACTGAAGATTTTATTCAAAATCATGTAGCGATTGAGGTCTTTGGCAATAGCCAACGTGAAATCTAATGAAAATGTACAGGTCATACATACCCTAATATACAGGGTGGGCCAAAAAAACCCACCCCCCTAGCCATTACTACTGATAAATATCTATTTTTTAACATGTACACCAACAATGATATAACATTTTAAAGATAATTTAATTTGCAACAAAATGATATATACTAGCACCATTTTCAACAACCCTATACAGAAATATAACCAATTATGTGACATGGGGGTAAAAAAACACCTTTTCAATTTTTATCGATTTTGCGAACAAAAGCCTATTTCTACCAAATTTTACTGTTCAATTAAAATTGCAACATTGTCATGAGTCTTTCATAATTGGATATTATATATTGTTTTCATTCAGTTTTTGAACCATGCATGCTCAATAAACATGAGTATGCTTATAAAACAAATTAATTTCTTCTTCAGTCTGTCCAAATATGGCTCAATAGACCCACCCCCGAACCCATCCTCTGATCAGATTATTCGCTTAAGACGCGGAAGCCATTGGTTGATGGCATAATTGATGGATGTATGCGGAAGTACCATTCAACTGCTAGTTATTCTTTCTTTTAGTTCCTCTACATCCCTGATAGGCTGGGTATCTTTAAATACCAAATGTTCTAGATGTCCCCAGGTTTGGTAATCAACATTATTGGCATCTGGACTGTCTGTAAGCCATTTGTCCGGGCTAGAGATGGTGTCATTTCGAATCTCCAAAAACTCCAGGGTAGCATTGGACCTGTGTGATGAAGCACTTTCCCATCAGAAAATGAATTTTTTTCACATGTTTTTTATATCCTTGAGGAGTCCTTTTTAACACCTCATGTCATTAACATTCAGAGTATATTTTTGCTCCTGGTTCAACAAAAAAGGGCCTGTACAGTCTTTCTTTTTTGGGAAACACCGAGTGGACACCACTTCCCTTTCAGAAAAAAGTCATCTCGATTTGAGTAGCCTTTTATTGCAAATGTCCCTATTCTTTCTTACTGGTATATAGAGTCTATCCTGTTGATTACATGTAGTACTTGAGGCATTTAGAACAGTTGGTCTATGAAGATCACTAGCCCTATCAGGGATGTAGACAGACTGAAAGAATGAATAATTACGAGTTCGATGGTACTTCCGCAGAGGTTCATCAATTGGTCCAATGGCTTTCGCGTCTTTAGAGAATAATCCGATCAGAGGATGGGTCCGGGGGTGGGTCTATTGAGCCATATTTGGACGGACTGAAGAAGAAATTAATTTGTTTTATAAGCATACACATGTTTATTGAGCACGAATGGTTCAAAAAATGAATGAAAATAATATATAATATCCAATTATGAAAGACTCATGACAATGTTGCAATTTCTAACTGAACAGTAAAATTTGGTAGAAATAGGCTATTGTTCGCAAAATCGATGAAAATTGAAAAGGTGTTTTTCGACCCCCATGTCACATAAATGGTTATATCTCGAGCCAGGGTTGTTGAAAATTGTTCTATTATATATCATTTTGTTGCAAATTAAATTATCTTTAACATGATATATCATTGTTGGTGTACATGTTAGAAAATAAATATTTATCAGGAGTAATGGCTAGGGGGGTGGTTTTTTTGGCCCACCCTGTAGATCTGTAAATCAATTGTTCTAGATATTGTGACATCAATTTAGATTATATTCTGATTTTGGTGAATTTCATCTTGGAGCATCACTGGAATAGACAGTAGAATTCAATATTTGTATATATTTGCCCTAAAATTCACACATTGATCATTGAATACTATACCAGATAAAAATCTCAAGGTTTGTGAATTTAAAATGATGAAATTGTTCAGAAAATCTTTTTAAAAAAACTTGTACACTAATTTGTAAAAATAACTGATTTATTTTAGATGCAGACTACAAACAGTTCCTTGAGGCTTATGAAAACCCATCTCCAGACATGGGAACAACCATTGAAGAATCCCTTGAGGAAATTGAGGCAAGGGACAAGGAATTAAAAGGTACAGATATTAAGAAGATGTTGTTTTGAACTGAGGAACCTAACTGTACAGTCTGGACCATTTCACTGATCTTCACCTGTGGATTGCTATCTTTCAAAAACATGTGATTTTAACAAACTTGCGGTACTACTCAGTAGACAATAGGGAGATGCCAGTTCTTGTTATTCACAATGGTTGATTGATAAATGTTTAGCACAATGAGCAATATTGTAAAAACACAGGCAGTAACACCAAGTAGTTATCTCAAATCAACTCTAAAACCTGATAATTTTCTGTCATCTTCAATTTTGTGCTTTTCACTATCCAGAAAATCTCTCTCCAGATCATTTTCTCTTTGTTGGGCATTCTTTATTAAAATTGGAGAAATTTTAATGTTGCTTCTAGTTGACGAAAAATTTTATGGAAAAGGGATGTAACATATGCCCATATATGCCAAAACATAAGCCCATGGTCATCTAGTCACATAATTTTATAGTGTATAATACATAAGAAATTGTGAAATAAATTGAATTGAATCTGAATGTTTGATTGATTTATTTTCCAGCTAACAAGGGCAGAATTGTTGAAAGTACCCCTCTACTGGAATACATCAAGAAGAAGAGAGAAGATAGACGAGCTACAATGCAGGTATAAACTTGAAATATAAAGGGGCTCGTGTTCTGATCTAAATCTGAATTATGTTAAACAAAACAATTGTCCCACTCTATTCGAATATATGGAAGCAAATATGCAGTAAAATATGTAATATAATTGAAAAGTAGTAGCGATAGAATGAAGTTGATCATAGCAAATAGCTACATCTATTATGAACCTTCAAAAGGTCCATATTGCATGGACTTTTCTTTCAATCCTTTTTGGAGGCAATTTTGTAAGTATAACATTTTGTAAATATAACATATTTTTGAATGAGTCTATCATTTTTATGTCACCACCAGTTGGAAAACATTGTTGTGATTCCTCAATTTGGTGGTCAGTAGTTGGCATCTGTAACATATTGTTACACTTGCTCAGGTAGTGACATTTTGCAGGGTTAATTCTTTGTTAGTATTGCTAAAGTATGTATGTTAGATCTCAATTTTCACCATTTTTGACTAGAATTCGGCATCTGTGACAAATTGTTCCACCTTCGTCACAATTTGCAATAACTCCAGTGGTGACATTTTGTCAGGTTGATACAATATGTTCAGCACTCAAGGAGGATTGGCTCCCAGGGTTCCAACTCGATATTCTACCATACATGTTGTGTTTACAAAATTCGAATTTTAATAGTCACCATGTTTTTCACTTCAAAACTTGAATCACGACTCGCAAGTTTTGGTGTTATTTTCAAACAAATATTCTTTTGAATTGTTGATTATGAATTTATAGTCAGTTATAATGTCAGAAGATAATGACATTCTCATTGTTGGAAAATATCAAGTAGTGTCCCTGGGAGTCAATCCTCCTTGTTCAGCATTGTTACATACAGGAACACAACAGTTGCATAAATTTCTTCCTAATTTACAGAGAATAAGAGAGGAAAAGCGCAAGAAGGAACTTGAGAGGAAAAAACAGAAGGAAGATGAGCGCAAGAGACGGAGAGACAGAGACCGCGAAAGAGACCGGGATTGGGACAGAGATAGTGATAGAGAAAAGGGCAGAGATCGGGATAGTGATAGAGACACAAGGAGAGATCGAGATAGCGATAGAGACAAGGATAAGAAAAGAGACCGGGATAGGCAGAGAAATAGAGATAGGGACAGGGAAAGTGAGAAAAGTGGAGATGAGGCACCAGTTAAGGTATAGGTCACAAATGTCCAATTGGCTTATATTAAGTTAAATATGTATAGTTGAATAATCCTTTAGCTAAATAGAAGGTAATGATATTTTGTTATGTTCTAGAATGCCTTGTTTTTTGTTTCCAGCTTCTACAGAAACGTGACCAGGATAAAGATAAGTCAGTTAAAAGTGATTCGAAAGACAATAAAGTTGAAAACTCAAAGGTGCAAGAATCTGGTAAAGATGACAAGTCGAAACTGATGGTGAAAGAGGGCTCTAGGAAAGATGATAGGTCCCCATCTAAAGATACTAGCTTAAGGTTTTCCAAGGAGAATAGGTAACATGCTTGAAAAATATAGAGAAAAAACAATACTCTTGATTTTATGTCCCCACCATGTACCAGAACTAGTGACACATTGTTATAGTTTCCAACTTTTTTGTGGAAGGTGTTTGGTGGTTGTTGTTCGGTGGTCAGTGTCTGCAACAAATGGCAGGTGGTGATATTTTGCATGTTAATGCCTTGTGTTAGACTACTTTTGCTTTCTTTTAGAGATGATTCAATTACCAAAAGTTACCAAAAATAAGAGAAACTGTTCACACCTCTCTTGTACATCTAAATGTATTCATAGAACTGTTGATAAACACATTTCTTGTTCTCCATATATCAAATGATCATATAATGTGTTTATTTTCAGGGAGAAAGAGAGAGCAGAAAGAAAAGAGAGAGATCGCGGAGACAGAGGTGACCGAGATCGGGATAGAAATGATAGGGATCGTTGGGGTAAAAGTGATCGAGATAGGGATCGTGGGGATAGAAATGATCGAGACAGGGACCGTAGTGGTAGAAGTGATAGGGATCGTAGTGGTAGAAGTGATCAGGATAGGGATCGAGGAGGTAGAAGTGATAGGGATCGAACAGACAGGGATCGAACAGATAGGGATCAAGGAGACAAGAAAAGTATGAGGAGTGACAGGGATAAAGGGGAACGAAATGATAGATCAAGAAATGACAGAGGAGAAAGACCTGAAAGGGACAAAAGAGAAAAGTCTGACAGAGTTGATCGAAATAAAGACAGAGAGGAAAGGTCTGATCGAAACAGAAATGATCGAGATCGACGTGATAGGGATTATGACCGAAATGAACGTGATAAGCGGGATCGACTCGACAAAGAGAGAAAGGAGAGAAATGAACGAGACAGAGGCGGTAGTGGTAATACTGAACGTGATAAAAGAGAAATGGAAAATGATGATAAACAGTCTGATAAAAGAAACACAAGGGTCAAGCAAGGTGAGAAAGAAGACAGGAGATATTCTGCACAGAGAGATAGAGACAGACGTGACAGAAAATCTCAAAATCAAAAAGATACAAAATTTGACAGTGGGAAAGGTGCAAAAGATGCCGACAGAGATAGGGGAAATGACAAAAATAGGGATACATATGGCAAAGAGTCTCAAGGCAAAGATAGGGGCTATGATAAGGACAGTAAAAAAGACGCAACAAAATCAGAGGGTGGTGAAAAGAGAGCTGTTAAATCAGAGGGAGGTGAAAAGAATAGCAGTAAATTGGAGGGAATAAGCAGAGCAAGCAAAGACACAAGCAAATCTGAGGTAATCCTTTTATCTCATCTCATGAATGTTTTACACAAAGAGCTAGGGAGGGTTTGGTAACTTTTTTATCGTACCTAATAAAGGTACGATATTGTCGTCAGCTTGACGGGCGGGCGGCGGGCGGGCGGACGGCGTCTCACTTTTCAGCTTGTCTACAGGTTTTCAGCCAAACCATTTGACAGATTCATCTGAAATTTTCAGGAATGTTTCTACATATCAAAGTTAAGAACTGATTAGTTTTTGGGCATTCTGGGTAAATTTTAAGGTGGCCATTTTGGATTTTCCGTCCTAAAATTTTCACTTTCAAGACTTGTCTACAGGTTTCCAGCCAAACCATTTGACGGATTCATCTGAAATTTTCAGGAATGTTTCTACGTATCAAAGTTAAGAACTGATTAGTTTTTGAGCATTCTGGGTAAATTTTAAGGTGGCCATTTTGGATTTTCCGTCCTAAAATCTTCACTTTCAAGACTTGTCTACAGGTTTCCAGCCAAACCATTTGACGGATTCATCTGAAATTTTCAGGGATGTTTCTACATATCAACGTCAAGAACTGATTAGTTTTTGGGCATTCTGGGTAAATTTTAAGGTGGCCATTTTGGATTTTCCGTCCTAAAATCTTCATTTTCAAGACTTGTCTACAGGTTTCCAGCCAAACCATTTGACGGATTCATCTGAAATTTTCAGGAATGTTTCTAAGTATCAAGGTTAAGAACTGATTAGTTTTTGGGCATTCTGGGTAAATTTTAAGGTGGCCATTTTAGATTTTCCGTCCTAAAATCTTCACTTTCAAGACTTGTCTACAGGTTTCCAGCCAAACCATTTGACGGATTCATCTGAAATTTTCAGGGATGTTTCTACGTATCAAAGTTAAGAACTGATTAGTTTTTTGGCATTCTGGGTAAAATTTAAGGTGGCCATTTTGGATTTTCCGTCCTATAATCTTCACTTTCAAGACTGTCTACAGGTTTCCAGCCAAACCATTTGACGGATTCATTTGAAATTTACAGGGATGTTTCTACATATCAAAGTTAAGAACTGATTAGTTTTTGGGCATTCTGGGTAAAATTTAAGGTGGCCATTTTGGATTTTCCGTCCTAAAATCTTCACTTTCAAGACTTGTCTACAGGTTTCCAGCCAAACCATTTGACGGATTCATTTGAAATTTACAGGGATGTTTCTACATATCGAAGTTAACAACTGATTAGTTTTTGGGCATTCTGGGTAAATTTTAAGGTGGCCATTTTGGATTTTCCGTCTTAAATTCTTCACTGTCACACTGCTGTGTTTTAGGTACGATATTGTTCACGTCTGTGCCTTGTTTATATCTACCCGACCACATAGAAAATATTTTTGATGTAGGAAAACTGGAAATTGGAAATAGAATATTACATTATGATGTTATTTTCTCATTTTCCAAGAAAAAATATCCCATAAATCTAAAATGCTCATTTTTATTTCATCGGAACATTTTATTTCCAGTCATCTGATAAAAAGTCAACAGTACAGTCAGACACTGAATCGATTAAATCAAATAATTCGTCGCTATCAGGATCTGAAAGAGAGGCCAAACGGGATGCAGATAGTGCAAAGGATGATGGAACCCACTCAAGAAAAACACGTTATAAGGTAAAATATTATGTTAATGCATAATATTTTAAAATCAGTACTATGAGAATTTTCAACTTATTAATTTACAGTTCACAGTTTAAACAATCCGTGACCTTTGGAGAATTAAGTGTAATTCCTAGACTGTCTAATGATAATTTGTATTTATTATTGAAAATTTGGCTCTATTTTTATTTTAGACATTGCCTCTATATTGGCTCCCATTTAATTAAGCATATTTTAGTTTAACTGAAATAATGAACTAAAAATCTACTATAGATAATAAGCATCATAACAGAGAACCCAAAACTAAAAATACTGTTGCTCTGATGAAATATGTATCGTATTATATCTGGGTATAACTGGCATGTGCTTTTATTCCTAGGGATTTTGATGAAAATTCAGTCGGGCTTTGCCCAAATTATTAACAAATACAGTAACTGGTCTGTTTGTCAATTTCCAGGATAGGCCTGAGAGGGCTGTCTATGTGCCAGGTGCATTACGGAGACAAAAAGAAAAGACTGAAGGTCACGGTGACTCTAAAGGTCGTGCTGACCCAAAAGGTCAAGGTGACAATAAAGGTCAAACAAGAGACAAAAAGCACCCAGATGATGCTCCAAATAAAAATGAAAGTTGATGATTTTAAAGCATTAAGAACTATTTATAAAATTTAAAACAGTAATTGGTCACTTTTTTAATATTATGAAGGAATGAATTTGCAAAATTGTTAACTACATAACTTATAAAGGCGTTTAAACGAGTGTGTTCTTTGTTAAATACAAACCAGAATTTTATATGTCACCATCAAGAAATGATGACAGATGTTATAGTCCCCTTTTTTGTGAGTGATGCTTGATGATGACATCTGTAACAACTGTTACACTTCTGTAACAATTCATTGGTTGTTTCATTTTTATGTTAAAGGGTTCCGATTAGCATCCCGTATAAAAACAATATGGCGGCTCCAGGCGAAAAAACTGGATCAGTTCATTTTTAAGAAATAAGGGGAGTTCTGTGAAATCCAGTTCATTGAAATTGTCTTTGAGATAAAGTAATCCGTTTATAATGATTTTGAAAACGTTATCCAAAGAGTGATTGCGTTCAAAGAATACATGTACAACAGCCAATATAAATCCTTGTATTAGAAACCGGTTTGTCTTGCTTTGTTTCATTTGTAGGATATTTCATATGCTAAGCTGTGTGCTATTACGTTATGGGGAAATTTAGATGCCAATTTTTCCTTATTGTACACAAATAGAAGATCCTGAAACTTCACCCATAAATGTGGAATTGATTTGTCAAAATAAAAATCACCCTTTTATAAATGTGTGACGATCTATAATATACTTATGCTATATAACAGTTAGAGGTGTTGACACAACGACCTCGAACCTGTGAACCCTTGAGTATTATTCCGGGATCGGGCCTTTTATACTAAACGGTGAGCAACACCAGAAACGAGCGTTCGATTTGCTAAACGATATGCGTCACCCTTTAATGCTTTGTAATGTTGTTTAATCCTCTAACTTGTATGTTAAATACAACGACAAATCTCTTTAATTGTTTGATTAATTGATATTAATTATTGAGGTTATTGCTGTTTAGTTTGTTGATTGTACAGTATTTGCAATATCTCCTCTTTTTACCAAGGAGGGGGTAATTATTAATTAAGTATATGTGAGCTTCAAATGCAAATAAAAAAAAATGTTAAATACATTTCTCCATATTTGTTTGTTTTCAAAGGATGGAATGTCTAGAGATGGCTTAAAATTCAATATAAAGAAAGAGCACTCACACAAATAAATTCCCAAATGTATCTTCCATCCACTAAAACACTACCCTTTCCAAGTCTGATTTTGCTTTTTAAAAGAGAGCTTCATTTACATTCTTTGATGATCCTTGATCCAGCCTTAAATAATAGGAATACTAAGAATACTGTTGAAAAAATCCAGCTACTCAATCAAAATTCAATGACTCATCTTTAAAGGAAATCTTAGTAAAGGCCTTACACAGCTACTTTTGGGGTCACTTTAATATAATCAGCATCAAAATTGTTATTCCACTGTTCACAGTCTACAGTATAGATCTAGGTCACTAGGTGTACTAAAACACCTAACTACAACCCATTGTGCCATAAGCTTGTTTGTGATAGTGCTAGGGTTCGCACATACATTTTTGTACATATTTATGTCGATGGGGTCTCTCATTGAGCTGATGTCTACTCCAGGGAGCAAATTCATGGAAGAATGGAGTCTGAATACAGGAATAGTACCCTCAATACAGTAATTCCGTGTGGGTCCTTATGTGCATATGATGGGTGTTAACAGAAACTTGTAAAGTTAAGAATTCCATTGTTCTCTTACTGTGTCGTCGATATATCCGTGGTTACAGCAATTGATTTAAGAATTCGTAACTTTACGAAGTTTCTGTAAATGACCCCCTGAGTATCAAAGTCTTGTTCATTAGACCCTCAGAATAGGAGGAATTAATAAACAGATGATGCTGATAAGATCTAAATGGCCCAAAAGAGTACATGTCATGGTCTCTGTTGAAATTCATTACTAAAGCTTAAAATCACTATTCCGGTCAAATTGTTATCTCCAACTCAGATTAAAACTCTCTCTTAATGTAAGCCAAAGGGTTGCTATCTGCTTCACCTATGAGATCCTGTTGAAAACTGAAATTTTGAGTAAAAGTTTTGTTGATAATTGTTCACAGCAAATATGTTATATATCAATATGCATGATGCAATTTAAGGCAGAATCACATCTAGCAATTACTTTGGTGCTTCATCTTGACGAAAACTGTTTATAGAATATTTTGGACTCGTCATTTCTTGTGTATTTTCAAAAATGACACCAAGTATAATAATGCAACCATTTAGCTATATCAATGGTTGACATGCTTATTATTTGGGAGAATTTAAACATCTCCCCATCTTTATACTTTGAACTTTAAATAACTTTACCAACTGATAACATACCACAGATCTTTTGGGCGATATTGTAAAGAAAACATTGTTTGATCAATTGTACATATTGCTTGCAAATTTGACGCTCCCTAAGATCTGATTCTGCCTTTAATCAACAAGTCCTGGATTTTTCAATAATGTAATTTGATTTAGCAATCTTAAGGTGGAAGGTGAGACTAATGTGTTGAAGATTAGCATGACATTGCAATTTGACAAGTTGACATGGGCATTACCTTTAAATAATAAACAATTTTATTTCATAATTTGGAAAGTGTATTTGATTTTCTTGGTTGTTACTAAAGAAATATTTAAATTCACAAAAAAACATTTATTCCAAAAATTTTATTCACTCAAAATGTGTAAAATTTTTATCAAAAATACATGCATTATTTTATAAAAGTACAATTAACACAAAAATAAACTCTAAATACCAAAATAACAAACACATATACATGTCATAAGCAAATGAGTGGTGCAGAATTACATGAACCCTTGTATAAAAATGTGATTTAAAGGTACAATCCATATTTCTCTTTCTGTTCATATGTAATAAATTTTAAACATTGCCAAGGAAATGAGGTGCACAGCCGGGCACCGAAACTATTTAAAAGCTGGAGAAGAAAGGAGAAAATGCTAAATTATTGACATAAATATTGCTTTTTAAAGTTGATATTAAAAACTTTTCTGTGATTTATGTTGATTTCATTATCAGATTATTTTATCATTTAACTGCATGAAACTCACAAAAATAGAAAATATTAGGGAACATCTCTTTAATATCTGAAGAAACAACAGCATTTAAAGACATTTTGTACAAATTAATTTGAAATCTGTAAATACATGAACAATTACGTGTTTGAGCTTTTCTTTAAAGAGAAATTTGGCGCTTCCCTTTGATGTATCTCCTTTTCAATAGATTTCAATTGATCATTTTAAATAATACATACTTTAAAAAATACTTTTTTTTAGATTTGGTTTCCATTATTTTATTTTAGTTCCGCAGTTGGGACAAGGTCACAGGCTGGTATCGAAAGATTTGTCCGCTGTGACGGAGCATGCTTTTTTTCATAAAAACACTAAGAATGCTTCACGACTTATTTTTTAACTCATATGTTTCGTTATATCAAAGATAATTACTTACTCCATGCAATGGATATATCATTTGCGTGTAACCTTCACTTCTGTTTGAAGTCCAATAACGCTAGGAGTAAAATCTATTGAAAACGGCGCCAGAGTATCAAACTCTAAAATGTACCATTTCTTTTTTAACTTTTTAATGGCATGATATAGTGACACGATAATATTAACATATGTTTTCAACATAACTCTGAATGTATTAATGAGATATTAATGCATTGGGTCTTTTTAATTTTTTTGATAAAAAATAATATTAATATTTTTTGTCCGCTGTGACGGAGCATTTTCACAGTTTACATTTGCAACTGCTCCGTCACAGCGGACAAAAAAATTAAACATTATTTTTTATAAAAGAATTAAAAAGTCCAAATACATCAACATTTCATTTATACCTTCATAGTTATGCTGAAACCATGTGTAAATATTATTGTGTCACTATATCGTGCCATTAGAAAGTTAAACAAGAAATGGTACATTTTGAAGTATGATACTCCGGCGCCATTTTCAATAGCTTTTCTTCCCAGCGTAATTGGACTTCAAACAGAAGTGAAAGTTACCCGCAAATGATATATCCATTGCATGGAGTAAGTAATTTTGTATGGTATAACAAAACATATGAGTTAAAAAATAAATCGTGAAGTATTCTTAGTGTTTTTATGAAAAATAGCATGCTCCGTCACAGCGGACAAATATTTCGATACCAGCCTGTGGAGGTAGATCTATCTAACTTCATTTTCCATTTCACTTTTAAATAAATTCTTATTTTGTATGTTATATTTATCAACATTATTTACTTCACTTCATTCTGTTCTAACTTTCAATCTCTAGTCTATTCCATTTTCTCCAATTTGAAAAGCTGAAGGACTAGGGGAAAATATGGCAAAGCTTCTGTATCTATTCCAGCTTTAATGTAACAAAATGGATGATTTAACGCCAATCCAACTTTCACATCGCTGTACAAGTCTAAGTACTGAGCTGTGCCCAAATTGGTCTCTAAGCAATTTTTGATGGTTTCCATGGCAACTGACACTGTTAAATTAGGGCTGGAAGTCTCGTATAAAATCTCAGCAATATTTAGTAATATTTCTTCTTGCTGTTTAAGTTTAATTTCTTGTTTTTCCCGCTCGCTTTCAGACTTTTGCGATGATAGCGATGTCTGGCGCTTCATAGTTTGCAACAGCATTTTAGCTTGTTGCGTTTTTTGTTGAAGATCTTGCAGTTTCGTAATCTGCTCGTCCTCTTGGGATTTCGGAAAACTTGGATTGCCGACTATTGGGGTGGGATATTTTTTCGTTAAAGCATCCCCAAAAAGGGCTTTGTAGTCTTTGGCTTCCTTATTGTCAGCTTTCACTTCATATCTGTAGTCAGTAGACAGACGTCTTGAATGTATATTACTGATTCCAAATCCGCGAGTCATTTTCTTCATCTTTGTTATTATGTTTGATTCTGGGTCGTATGGTAGTGCAGGACTGGAGGACCTCCTTATGTGCTTAGATGGTTTTGTTTCGAATTCAAGTGATCTCTTGATCCCAAATTTCAACTTTTGTATATCTGCACTTGATTTTCTAAATGTAATGGGCTGCCGTTCTAATAACTCTGGGATAGATGGCGTTGAGCTTGACATTCCTTTATTTGAAGCTGCTTCATGTCCATTTAAAATGTTCATGTCTGATCGGTTTTCATGGTTTTTGATTTGGTCGCTATGATTATTGTTGCCATGGGACTGATTGCTTGATGAACCTGATGTGTTGCTGTTGCTAAGGATACCACTATCATCATCTTTAGTAGCACTTCTTGAAGATACCTCACTAGGAATTACCTTTCCCGAAGCTTGGTTACCAAGGCAACGACTCAGAAAACCATCAACATTTTCATCATCAGAGAAGGAAACTTTGTGATGTGGTATGTCACTCACCATGGTGAACACATCTTTTTCATCGATATTTAGTTTGCTTTTATCAGTCATGGTTGTGGAAATGTCTTCCCTTGGCTTGTTTGGCTCTTTAGGAATCTCCTTAGAAAGGAAACGGGCCATGAAATCATCCACAGACTCTAAAGGTGGTAAATCTAGAGAAGCAGGTGTCTGATTGCTATGACATTCTGTTGCCATGGCATCAGATTGTTCATTACTACGTGTTGCTTTGACATCATCATTGGTTGCCATTGTGTAAGCAGAGGTGGCAATAGAATAATTGCTTGCCAGGTTGTTTTCTTCTGCTTCTGTAACAACTATAGCGACTCTTTCCTGGTTAACCAAACAACAAGAATCAATATTTGCAGTTTTGACAGCATTTGCAGTGGTTACATCTGTTGCTATAGAGGCATCCCTGGGAGTTGTGTCAACAATAGAAAATGGTACATGATCCACATACTTAGACTTTTTAGTGGTAAAAGTCTTAGCTGATATTGGTTTCTGGATCATTTCCGTTCCCTCACAAAGTCCATATCTATCGTGTAGTTTGATTGAATCTTCATCATATGCGACCTGCATGGCAGAAGTACTGTATCCAGGACTTGCTTGTAGAAAATGTTTTCTTTGTAGTTTTGGTGGTGAAGCAATAGCAGCCTTTGTAGTTTCACTCATGCTTGATTCAATTGGTCGATCATTAGATTGAATAGGATGCTTCTTGACAGGCTGTTTTGAGGGATCAGAATGTTGTTTCAGATGTTCAAATTGATGTTTTGGAACTTCTATGGGTTGTTTCAGAGATTCAGTGATATGTGTTTGAGATTCATGTACTTGTTTTGGAGTAGTCGGTATGGATTTATATGACAATAGCTCCACTTGATCTTTGACTTCAGAATTGGCTTGGGACAGAACTTTATATTTATCTTTTGTGCACCGTGCACAACTAGGACGTGGGCATTTATTTAAAGGTACATCAACATCTGACTGAATATTGTCTAGCTCCTTATAAGGGGTCCCTTTCATGGAAGGCTCCTTGAAAACCTTGTATGTTGAACCATGACCTTTGACAATTGAGATATTGAACAAACTATCTGAATCTTGTCTCTTAAATGGGATCTGTTTGGACTTGCCAAAACTTTCTGTATTTTGACATTCAAACTTTTGTTTTTCAACATTATCAACATGTGTTTCTTGGATTTCATTGTCCAATTGAGCCTGGTTGCAATCACGCATTTCTTGATTCACATGTTGACCTACATTTTCATAAAGAGCTTCAGGTTTCGACTGATTCCGTGATTTTTGGATCCATGCTCTTTTGGGTTTGCTGATTGGTTGTTTCTCCTTCTTGTCAATATTTTTAAACAATTTAATTCCTTGATTTTCATTTTCCTGAAACAAATTTTGCTGATTCACATTTTGTTGTTGCTTCATACGCTCACGTTTCACAATTTGCTGTTTCACATTTCTCCCTACATTAGGTGAAAACCCACTTGCATCACTATCGTCAACCATGAGAGCATAGTGTATTGCCTGTTCACTCCTTTTATACTTTCTTTTACCCTTATCATCTTTTACATTTTCATTACACTCCTTTCTGTCTGGATTATCTTCATAAAGGGGGTATGGGGATCCATATTTCACTGGTCTTTTAGATTCAATGCTTTTTCTTTTGATTTTGTATCCAAGCCCTCCTTTTTTGTTGGTTTCTATTTTTGACATCCTTTTCCCAACAAGTTTATCAACTTCTTCCCCTGTATATTCTCCACATTTAGTATCAACTTTTCCTGCATTGGTGTTTATTTCAATATTTGGGCTTTGCCATTTTCTTTGGGAATTTCTATCCTCACTTTGAGCTTTTCTGGCCTCACTCCGAGATGTATTATCCTCGCTTTGAGATTTTCTAGCCTCACTCTGAGATGTTTTAACCTCACTTTGAGATTTTCTAGCCTCATCCTCACTTGACTGATGATCAGAATCAACAAATGCAATTTTGTAAGGACACAAAATCTTTGCTTTAGAATCACTTGACCTTTGTTTTGAATCAACACAAGATTTATCAGATTCAATAATATCTCTTCTGAAGTCCTTTGGTTCTTGAGAGACGTTTTTGCGTTTTGACTTTAGAGGCTTTTTAGGGTCAGTGCTATCAGAGTCTTCAGGATTGGATGAGTCAGTTTGATCAGAAGTTGGTCTGTCATTCATGAGTTCTTTCATTCGGATGTTCTGCTTTCTTTGTCTTGATAACACTTCTTTGTACAGGCTTATCTGTGGACCTGTCACCTTCTGAAAATATATTATAATGTTGTTTACCAAGAAGGACGCAACACAGGATCTATTTCAATGCACTGTATAATACATATTCCATGCATGAGTTGTTTCTGAAAATATATAGAGATTATTTACTGAGGGACTTAATATGAGTTTCATTCAAGAGACAATATGATATTCCATGTGGAAATTTTCCATATAGCCTTAACTGTTGCCCTAAATTGCTTTCTGAAAATAAATAAATATTAAGGTTATTTACTGAGAGAGATTTAATATGGGGTTTATTCAATTTAAGAGGTGGGACTTTTTGCTAACTGTTAACTGCAGCCCTGGTTTACTCTCTGAATGTATATCAAGGTTATTTACTGAGATATATATAATATGGGTTTAATTCAAGAAACAAGGGACCATCCTATACAAGCTAAAAAATTGTACAATAACATAAACTTAAGTTTTCCTTATGAATTAGTAAACAACAATAAGAATTGTATATACCATGATGAATATAATTATAAATATGAAATATTTGCACTAGTACAAACCTCATTTGTTTTAGGTTTGGGAAGCGGTTTATTTCCATCTGTTGACTGTACCACTCGCTTGTCAACCACTGGCACATTCTTTGGTGTCTGAAGTGAGAGTTTTCTGGGTCTAGTTGGGCTCCTTTGTAGCTGTAGTATCTCCAGTCTTTTCAGTTGTGGATGAAACTAAAACAGCAAAAGATACCATACAGTTACTAATACATATCATTGTTTTAATCTATTAGATGTTTGTTAAGACACAAAATAATTAAAAAAGAATTTACAGGACATGCAGCCATCTGGTAATAGACTAAATAAGAAGCAAAAAGGAAATCAAAGCACACAGTGATAATTATCATACATGAAGAGGAAAATGACTGCCTTGTAATCCCTGTCCCACCAAACTGAAGTCTTAATCAGATCTTAGTATCAGTCTACGTTTGCATCTGTAAATAAACCAAATTGAACAAATGAAATGTTTTCTCCCTTTGTTGTGCTGTATGGTAGCACACCTGCTATTCAACACAAAAAGTGACAATAAAAATAGCACTTAAAAATGGTAGAAGTATGGCACTTAAAAAATGGTAGTAGTATGGTACGTGGTAATATGGTTTGGTTAATAATGATTATGAATTAGGAAGGGGCAGGCAAGTATTATCATAAATTTAAACAGGGATTATCAAACAGTAAGCAAGGAATAAGGAAGAAACAAGCAATGAATAAAGTTGGAACAAACAGAGCTAGCAACGAATCAGTAAGGAAGAAGCAGGGAATTAGAATGGAACAAGTAGAGCAAGCAATGAATCAGGAAGGAACGAGCAATGCATCAGGAAGGAACAAGCAATTAATAAGAATGGAATAAGCAATGCACCAGGAAGGAACAAAGAAGGAATAAGAATGGAACAAGCAACTCATTAGGAAGGTCGCAATGAATAAAAATGGAACAAGCAGAGCAAGAAATGAATCAGGAAGGAACAAGCAATGAATAAGAATGGAACAAGCAACTCACCAGAAAGGTTGCAATGAATAAGAATGGAACAAGTAGAGCAAGCAATGAATCAGGAAGGAAGAAGAAAGGAATAAGAATAGAACAAGCGATGCACCAGGAAGAAACAAACAAGGAATTAGAATGGAAACAAGCAGAGCAAGAAATAAATCAGGAATAAGCAAGGAATAAGAATGGAACAAGCAATGTACCAGGAAGGAACAAGCGAGAAATAAGAATGGAAACAAGCAGAGTAAGAAATGAACCAGGAAGGTCCAAGGAATAAGAATGTAACAAGCAATGCACCAGGAAGGAACAAGCGAGAAATAAGAATGGAAACAAGCAGAGCAAGAAATGAATCAGGAAGGAAGAAGCAAGGAATAAGAATGAAACAAGCAATTTGCATCAGGAAGTTCGCAATGATGAATAAGAATAGAACAAGCAATCTACATCAGGAAGGAATAAGCAATGAATAAGAATGGAACAAGAAATGCATCAGGAAGGAACAAGCAAGAATTAGGGAATGGAACAAGCAATGCATCAGAAAGGAACAAGCAATGAATAAGAATGGAGCAAGCAACTCATCAGGAAGGTCGCAAGGAATAAGAATAGAACAAGCAATCTACACCAGGAAGGAATAAGCAATGAATAAGAATGGAACAAGCAATGCATCATGAAGGAACAAGCAAGAAATAAGAATGGAACAGGCAATACATCAGGAAGGAACAAGCAATGAATAAGAATGGAACAAGCAACTCATCTGGAAGGTCACAAGGAATAAGAATAGAACAAGCAATCTACACCAGGAAGGAATAAGCAAGGAATAAGAATGGAACAAGCAATGCATCAGGAAGGAACAAGCAATGAATAAGAATGGAACAAGCAACTCATCAGGTAGGTTGGAAGGAATAAGAATAGAACAATCAATCTACATCAGGAAGGAATAAGCAATGAATAAGAATTGAACAAGCATATGCATCAGGAAGGAACAAGGGAGAAATAATAATGGAAACAAGCAGAGCGAGAAATGGATCAGGAAGGAAAAAGCAAGGAATAATAATTGAATAAGCGTAGCAAGCAATGAATCAGGAAGGAACATGCAAGGAATAGAACAAGCAATTTGCATCAGGAGGAACAAGCATTGAATAAGAATGGAACAAGCAATGCATCAGGAAGGAACAAGCAAGGAGTAAGATTGGAACAAGCAATGCACCAGGAAGGAACAAGCAAGCATTATGAAGGGATTAAACAATGAGCTAGGAAGGAAGAAGAAAGGAATAGAACAAGGAGAGCAAGCAATGCATCAGGAAGGAGCAGGCAAGGAATAATAATGGAACAAGCAACAAGTAATTTGTATCAGGAAGGTCGCAATGAATTAGAATGAAACAAGTAGAGCAAGCAATGAATCAGGAAGGAAGAAGAAAGGAATAAGAATAGAACAAGCAATACACCAAGAAGGAACAAGCAAGGAATAAGAATTGAATAAGCAGAGCAAGCAATGAATCAGAAAGGAATGAGAATGGAACAAGCAATGAATCAGGAAAGAATCAGAATCAAGCAAAGATTCACCAGCATTGGTAAGCATGTTATCAAAAAATTGTGAACATACGTTTTCTTTCTCACTTTCACCACCAGATGACTCTACTGCAGGGCTCCCATCTCTCGCTGAGCTCCGCTTTTTGAATAGCTCTCGTTGCCTGGCGATGTACGTATCAATGGTGGCCTGTAGCGATGGGATAAATAGAATTTCTTCAGCAGAGGGCCGTTTTAAAGGATCTTGTTTAAGTAGAACATTGATCAGATCTTCTAGTATTGCTCCATAATGTCTGGAAATAAAATGAATGAATCAGATTAATGAACAAAAAAAAATCAAATGTATTAGTCAGTTTAAACATAAATAAAGTAATGTTCTTTGGTGTCTGTGTATGAAATACATTTTCATGATTTATCCAGTTCTCAACAGGGTGCAAAAATATTTCAGCCGGGTCTACTGGGTGCAAAAATATTTCAACGGGGTGCAAAATGGAAAGGATGGGTATCGATATGGCGAACTTTTTGAACACACGTTTCTCTTAAACCAGTCATCAAAAAATTCTGAAAATTTTAGACAGTGTCAATTTAATGGTCATCTTTTAAATGGAAACAATATAATTTGAAAAATATATATATAATTTCATCTATATTGTTTTAGAAAACACATCAAACACTTGTTTTGTTCTTGGTATCATGTTTCCAAAGTGAAATGAAACATCTTTCCGAACCTCAATATTGTAATTGTACAAAGGAAATTTTGGTTGATTTTAAAAAAGTATCTTGTTAATGAAATAAAAGGTTTATCTTGGTTTTTTATCTATTTTGGGGGGATTTTGTTTTAATTTTTAATTCCTTTGTATAACTATAATATTGAGAGGTCTAAAACATGTTGTATATGCTATTTTGTTCCAACAAGGTTCGGAAAGACATTTTATTTCATTCTCAAGAATTGGTAGAAAGGAGCAAAAACAATTGCACTAAAAAAAAAAAATGTTAACAAAAACAGTTATAGAAAATATTTCTAAATAACTTTCGCTTTAAATTGTTGTCCATCAGTCAACATTACATAAAATACCGTGTTTTTTTACAGAATGTTTTCAATGATTGGTTTAAGAGAAAAACATTGTTGAATTCAGTTCTCCATATCGATATCAATCCTTTGTTAAAAAGCGATCTGTTCGCCCTTAGAAAAAAATGTTGAAATATTGGCATAATTAGGTAAAATTGGGATCTTGCACCATGTTCAGAAAACATCCTGGGAGGGCCACTGTGTATTTTTTAACTTTTAACAGGACATGAAACCCTAGCTAACTGTTGCTTTAAAGATCACTTACTATAATTTGTCAAATAAGGAATACTTACTGAGGTATAGGAGCATATCTGCCATCCATAATTTTTACCACTAGAGGGCCAAATCCTGGAGCATCAAACGGTGGTTTTAAGCAAGTCATCTGGTAAAGAACACAACCCAAGGCCCACATATCACTCTTACTATCATATCTGGGGAGAGTCAAGGTGAATATACATTTGTATATTAATTTATTTTAAGTAGAAATTTAAGTCCCATCAAACTCAGTTCTTGATGTCACCACAGGCCCGTAGCCAGTTTTTTCCAAGAAGGGGGATTCAATTTTTTGCCAGGGGCAGAGGGGTTCACTCGCTCCCCTTAACACCCCATCCCCCTACGGCCCTGTAACACAATAAGGCCATGGCATGGAAATTTATTTGCTGGTTCTATATTTAAGGATTTAAGCCACTGGCTCGGTGCATTGTGTGTGCTGAATCATTCCACTGAAGGTGTTGTTTCCAAATCTTTGCATGATAGTGCAGTGTGAATGTGACGTTTTGGAAACAACGCCTGAGTGGAATGAAGCAGCCACAATGCATTGAGTCTTGGGCTTAAATTCTTTTCACACATTACAAAATATTTTCTACAAAATCACAATATCAGTAAAGGAACATATTTTCAATTAAACTTTTTGCAAGGGTCAAGTTGGCAAAGTATCAATTTCAATCTGGAGTCAAGTTGTCACCTTGGCAACTGTTTACCAAGGGACCTTGGATGATATAATGCACTGCAGTTATATGAAATACTTAGTTCGGATTGGCTGGAATCAGACACACCTCGTCTAACATGTGTGAATACTTTTTCTACTGTGAATTCCCATCATCATCATGTCTATTGTCTACCCTCTGAGTAGCTTAAGTTGTGCTATTATGACAAGGGGAATAGCTTAAGGCATAATGCTTCAACCAAAGGATACGGCTGTTTCTGGCATATCTCTGGGCTCAGATAATACGGAGTTCCTATTGTTGTATTGGCACAGCCATGTGTCTCTTTTAATATACGTGCGATTCCAAAATCTCCAATTTTCACAATATTATGCCTAGTCAGGAATATGTTCTGTGTTTTTAGATCTGAAATGAAACATAAAGCGGCTCTTAAATAATATATATATATAGTTGTCAGATTTTTCATTTTTGCCAGCTTTTGATACAACAGGTGACTTGATACAACAGCTCAACTTATATAGTGAAATTAGTCGACAGAGATCATTTCCACACATTTTAAGACATTTTTTGTGTAAACTAGATGAAAATGATCCAAATTAGAGCCATTTTGTGACAGATTATCTCTTCACTCAAGGTTTCATGATAATTTCCAAGTGACAAGAAATCTTGTCACTCTGGGAAGTCAAGAGGTTAATAATCAATATAAATATAAAGGGGTTAAATTGAAATAGACATATGATGTGCATATAGAGTTCCTTCCCAATTAAAGTTATTTAGCTTTTGATGCTGATAATGACCTCAGATGTAGCAACCATGATCTTTTATACTGGTATAAGAGAAAAGGTATGGACAGATTATATATTTGTGATTTTCTCATAGTAGCTTCCTGGACAAGATGTTTCTGGAAACATTAATTTGCCTCAAGAAAATAAGAGGAGGTTAGACATGGGATTGCAATATACTTGATATGGGTCAGGCCCGTAGCCAGGGGGGGTTCGGGGGGTTCGGGCGAACCCCCCCCCTGGCCAAAATTTCTTTCAAAATCATGCAGTTTTTCACCATTCTGACTATTTTTTGAGGGATTTTTGGCCAAATTTACCAAAGTGAACCCCCCTAGATTTTTTTGGAAAAGTGAACCCCCCCTTCGAAAATTCTGGCTACGGGCCTGTGGGTATACTAAATGGAACTAATTCAAATAAGTAGACAAAGTCATGGGCATAGCCAGGAGGGGGGGGGGGGGGGGGGGTTATGATCACAACCCCCCCCAAAAAAAAGAAAAAAGCAAATTTGTGCTTTAATTGAAATGCTTATATTATAATGCACCGTATAAAATGTAAAAAAAATTCCCTACTCCCTTATCGGGCCTTGCTTTGCTCATAGTGATGCAAACCTCAAAAATCGCACCCCATTTGACAATAATGCTGGCTACGCCTTTGAAAGTTAACCCATTGCTGAAGGTACACTCACCTCTGTGTAAAATCTTCATTGAGTGAATATATCTAAGTCCAAAGCACAACTGTATGAACCAATCCAGGATAACATGTTGCTCAAAATGTTCACCATTCTGCCTATCTATTCTCCCTTGAAGATCACCTTGAAATACAAGAATGATATATTTATATACATGTGTTTTCATCACATGGATGAATGATTGTATGTTATCCCGTTCCAGGACTATAGTCCTGTACAGAGCCCATACATTTGCCTGTACGATTACAACTTGGGAGAATTATCTACGCCCCTTCCACTTAAGAAACCTACCTCAATGCATTCTAGAACTCAAAATGTAACTTCTAATATATTGGAACCGCCGATTGTCTGGGTTAGTTGGCAGAACGAGGTCTTTTTGTTTCTTATGGCTCTTTTGGTCGAAGTTCGATTAAGATGGCGGTTATAACGGAATTTCCCGAACTCTTCCGTAATAGCACGAACTTGGTTTTTCGTTACGTCACTTCCGTGTAAAATGGATTTGTCACCGGTAAGAGGGAATTTCGAAAATTTCGGACAATATTTTCAATATTTACTGCCATGTCGACATCCTATGCTCTTAACTGTATACCGAATGGTTAAACAATGTTTCTTACCGGAAACAAATCCATTTTACACGAAAGTGATGTTACGAAAAACCAAGTTCGTGCTATTACGGAAGAGTTCGGGAAATTCCGTTATAACCGCCATCTTAATCGAACTTCGACCAAAAGAGCCATAAGAAACAAAAAGACCTCGTTCTGCCAACTAACCCAGACAATCGGCGGTTCCAATATATGAGAAGTTACATTTTGAGTTCTAGAATGCATTGAGGTAGGTTTCTTAAGTGGAAGGGGCGTAGATAATTCTCCCAAGTTGTAATCGTACAGGCAAATGTATGGGCTCCGTACAGGACCAAAGTCCGGGAACAGGATAAATTGTATGCACTGTTCCAATTTTTATTTCTCAAATGATGCGTCCTAAATGCTTCAATAAGCATAGGATTTAAAGAGGCTTGTCTGAATCAACCAATCATACATTTATTTGGACAAAATTTTAACCAAAGCAGTACTTGTCCTTTTAGTGATTTGAGGTTTCTGGATTCTTACAACATTCTGCTTGAAACATGGACTTGAATTCCTTCATTTCCAAATTTGAACCAACCAACCAATTTGAGAATAAGATACGTATCTATATAACATGACAAATGTGCTGCAGTAGCTAACAACCTACCTGAATCAGCGAATTCCATTACGATGTTCAGCATCCCGTTTTGCACGAATGCATTTTTATATCGAATAACGTTGATGTTTTTACATCGTCCTAGAGCCGCAACCTCCGTAAGACTTTGCTCCCTCTCCTTCTCACTCGATCCTAACACTTGGATCTCTTTAATGACATACTTCCTTTTGTTTTTATTGGATTTCACAAGCCAGGCACGCCCAAATGTTCCAGTACCAATAACTCTCAACTTTTCAAAATCGCTCGCCATCTTTGATCAGGTGTGACGTAGAGAGTGCTGCCACCTATAATTTTTTAATCCCAGGATAAGTTTTTCCCATAATGATAAAATCAAGTGAATGATAAATACATGAGATATGTTTTTTTCAATTCAATCTCAATTTATTTGCTCAAAATTCCATCTTACAATAGTTCATACAACATGAAAAGACACACCAAAGGGCGTATATATAAGTCACAGGGTGTCTCAAAAAATGTACCCAAAAATATATCAACAGCACAGATAAGCCAATCGATATTTTAATACATTTTGCATACATGAAGTACGTACGTTTTCTCACCAATTAACAGTTTTTAATTCAGTCTTGCCTTTTTTGATATTTTAACCCTTTACTTTTTGTTTCATATTTCCATGACTGCCTGCATCCTTAAATGGTACATTGCAATTGTTCATCACATTTAATAATGCCTCTGGTGGAATGTTTTGAACTTCTCTTTGGATGTTGGCCTTATGTTGTTCTAGGTCTTTTGGCTGAAAAATGTTCCTTCAAATAACCGACAGAGAAAGAAGTTCAAGAATGAAGATGACAGAACAATCACAGAGAACCAGGTCATTTTAATTGAATTATCATCAAATGATTTAGCAGTTGATAATGGAGTACCACCTTCCAGAGTAGTGGAGACTGATTGATATCCAAATAAGAACACTATGGTCTCAAAAGATTGAACCCCTCAACGTACAGCAAGGGCCACACAAGGATTCCCATGAAAGAAGGTTCTCCAACGTCTGATCTCTCCGTATAAAGACATTATGAGAGCTCCCCATTCAACAGATTTGACACCTCAGACTTTTTCTCTGGGGTAACTTGAAGAACCATTATTGTGCTAATCCCAAACTAAGAGATCTAAAACAACTTAACTTTAATAAGGCCATCATCTGATGAGAAATTTAAAACATTCCTCTAGAAATATTATCAAATTTGTTTGACAATGTAGCAGTAAGGATATCGATGCAGGCTGTCATCGAAATATTGGGAGGTTAAATTGAACCCGGTATAATAAGGGTATAAAGCATTAAAAAGGCAAGACAAACTAAAAATTCAGTATTGGGGAGAACATTTACATTCTTTCCCTAAATGACCATGCAAAAATATCTGAAAATATTGATTATATCTTTGCTGTTGATATATACTTTCGGGTATATTTTTTGAGACACCCTTTATTCCATGGGTCAGTATTTGTTTAATAATGTTTCTAGTTCGTCGTAGCTAATATATTAAAATGAAAAAGAAAAATGGAAGCAAATTACAACCCTTTTCAGAAAAAATGAGCAGCCCAACACCTTAATTCAAGCTCCCCGTACGTTTGATATACCAGCAATGGATAGAACAATTTTCTAAAATGAAAAACGGTGACTGTTAAATCACACGGATAGTGGTGGGGGTCACCTGAATACTTTTCGGATGATTTTTTAGCTAAAACTGTCAAAAAGCTCCATCTTGACTAAGGCTCCCTTTATAAAGTTGATCCAACGTTACGGGCAAGACCTGATCTTTGGGTAATCACTACCCAAGTTGTTAATTTTTCCTTCATATGTAAGCATATCCACACATACTACCATTTTATACGTGTACAATGCAGTTTAGACTTTATTTGATATATTTATCGTTGTGGAAACCCTGTTCAAAACAGCTACAACTGTACAGTCTGTTAACTACATAATAGCCAGTTGAACCTAAAAAAAGAAATCTAAATATGGAAAAACATATTTGCCCATGACTGACATTTGTGTATCCCGGATTTCTTGTGAATTGGCTCGTAAAGTCATTATACTGTGCTCTTGGTAAGTTTTTGCTTGCTGCTAATATTTAACGTTTTTGCGAGTTTTTCAAAATATTCGCGAAATAAAGTTGCCTCGAAATTCCTATAGTTCTAATTTGCGAAATATAATAGTCGCAAAATTCCAGGGAATTTTGTTTGACTCAATTTTTTTAATCATACTTAGTACTCTTTATTTCATAAAAATCATAAATAAAGGAGGAGGGAAGTTAGCGCAACAGATTTTGGCCATTTCCTGGGGATTTAAAAAGGTGCATATGTTAGGTGGATGCATTACCCCCAGGAAAATCTCTTCTAGAGATGATAAAACAATTTTGACTTTGAGACAGGGTAGATGCAAACAACCCACCAACATGTTTTTTCTGAAATGTTTTCCTGATTTTCAACCCCTTCCATCCTTGCTTTTTTAATTTTTCTTGCATCAAAATGTTGCGTTTTGACACACAGTTAATCCCTTAAAAGGAATAAATGATTCCTTTTAGATAAAGTGGAAAACAATATTTCCCATGTTATTTTCCCATAGGAAAAATCATTGCTTTCAGCTAAGTTTGGTCACCCATAGTGGGTATCTTTAAAACCCCTGATGGAATCACTTATTTCTTTAAAGGGGTTAACTATGTGTCAAAATGCAACATATTGATGCAAGAAAAATTAAATAAAAAAGCAGGGATGGAAGGGGTCGAAAATTAGGAAAACATTTCAGAAAAAACATGTTGGTGGGTTGTTTGCATCTACCCTGTCTCAAAGTAGAAATTATTTTATCATCTCTAGAAGTGATTTTCCTGGAGGTAATGCATTGGCCTAACATATGCAGTTGTTTAAATCCTCAGAAAATGGCCAAAATCCAACATATGACTGTCCAAAGTCTATTGCGCTAATTTCCCTCCTCCTTTACATCTTAATCACGGCGTAATCGCCCAGAAAGGGCATTTCTACTGCCGCTTTAAGTGAATTTTAATTACAATATAGAATTACATTTAGTCATAGTTAGTATAAAAATAATATAGTTTAAATACAATCTGTTTTTCTGTCTGTCTGTACCTCCTTTGCTGTCCTGAATTTTAATTATATTGTTATCGCATGTTTGATTGTGTTTAATGAAATTTAAAACTGTCTTAAAAATTTGGGTGTTGTTTTCATTTGTCAGATCCTTGTCGCAAAAAGTAGGAAATTTGTCTTGATTTTTAATGTTTTATATTTAGTTACATCTAAGTTTAGTTCACGTTTTACCACAGCTAGCGCAATTTGATTCTCTCAGAGGGCAGGACAAGCGTTTATGTTGTGCTGTCTCTCGAACTCCACAGTCACAATATGGATCGTTGTTAATGAACGCGAAATAATGGTAAAAAAGATCGGATTTAAAATATCGATTTACTCTTATCTTATTTAGTAGTGTTTCTTCTTTACTATCAAAGTTCTATAAGTAGGAGGTTGAAATTGTAGGTTCAATGTTTTTCGTGAGGTGATCGTTTAGTTGTTTTTTGAAAAGTGAGAAGCTGTCCGTTTCCTTATGGTTTGACTCAATGTTGATGATATTTTCATCCAGAACTAAGCGATAAAAGGTATGTAGGAATAGGATACTGTTTTCTTAAATTATATCGGGTAAACCAATTTAATCAAAGAAATTGGAAAAAGAAGCTGGAAGAATTTGAGAAGTCACAAATCTGCAAAAATTAATACCCGCAAAATTTCAAAAACCTGAAAATTAGCGAAACTTATTAGCCACAAAATATCAAAAATATAACACCGTCAATTGCAAATATTAGTTGGAGTACAGTATTTTTATGCTTCTCTGCCATGTCAAATCTGAAAAACATGGCCGATGGTCTCAGATTACAAGAGGGCACGGGTTTATTGCACTAGTTCTATGTCCGGCGCGTTACCAGTGAGTTAGATGTCAAAAAGTAACACATCGCCCTACCAATATGGTGGACAGAGAATCCATTTCTCTAGAGGAAAAAAAACTAATTGATATCTTTAGAAACTTTTGTAACAACCTGAGATACTATTGTAGTAGTTGAATTCAATGAGTGTTGCTAGAAAAATGAATGTGACACTTTTAGCAAAATGGCATATACTCGAATTCAGGCATTTGGAATTTTCTCACATATCTATTTTTGAATTTTCATTAAACCCAGTTTACTTTGCTTGAAATCTACAAGTCAAATTTTAAGTTTTGGGTCATTTTATTTTTCTTTATTTCGGTCATATTTCACATAATTAATACGTCCAGTTGGGATTTTCACCACATCAAATTCTTATTGTGCAATGAAGTTCTCATTCTCAGTTGAGCCTAGAGAGATGTGGCTCTACAAACACACGTGCTGCAATCTTTTTCATCCATCTAAATTATAAAAAGTGGAATGGCTTTGGTAACTCTAGAAAATGTTCCACTTGGGAGGTGTTCCACTTATAAGAGGTTCAATAACATTAAGTCGGTGGGTCTTGGGGCTCTGAAGTGTTCTGCTAACAGAGGTGCTCAGATTCTAGAGGTTCCACTTTACAGGTTTCACTGTACGTCCCTGGTACTACGTACAGATGTTAATACATGTTTTACTGTACTGCCCATTCACAAGCACCTTGTGGACTAATGCATATTGTGTAAATGACAAAAATTGACTAGTTCAAGTTTTCACTTTCAATTTCAAAAGATGTAAAGGAATGATGTTTTCACTATAATACATGTACACATGTTTTTGTAACTGCTCAACAGTCATGTTTTCATGATACAGTGTCCCCCGATCACAGGCTGGTATCGAAATATTTGTCCGCTGTGACGGAGCATGCTATTTCTCATAACAAGAAGTAACAAGGCATTAACATGACAAAATGTCACCACCTAAAACAATTTGGTCAATTTAAAGCAAGTTGGAAAATACCTTTTGACCTTGAGAAGGTCATTGAAGGTCAAAGGTCAAATCTAAAGCCAGATTTGAACTTCTGAGAACTTGTAAAGTCAAATTTGAACTTTTGAAAAGATGTAGATGATCTTGAAAAAAAAATTTGGTCAATTTGAAGCAAGTTGAAAACAGACCTTTTTGACTTGAGAAGGTCATTAAAGGTCAAATGTCAAATCTAAAGTCAGATTCGAATTTCTGAGAACATGTAGATGATTTTGAAAAAAAAAATTAGTCAATTTGAAGCAAGTTGAAAAAGACCTTTTTGACCTTTTTTGACCTTGAGAAGGTCATTGAAGGTCAAATGTCAAATCTAAAGTCATATTTGAATTTCTGAGAACATGTAGATGATTTTGAAAAAAAAATTTAGTCAATTTGAAGCAAGATGAAAAAATACCTTTTTGACCCTTTTTGACATTGAGAAAGTCATTGAAGGTCAAATGTCAAATCTAAAGTCAGATTTGAATTTCTGAGAACATGTAGATGATTTTGAAAAAAAAATTTAGTCAATTTGAAGCAAGTTGAAAAAAGACCTTTTTGACCTTTTTTGACTTTGAGAAGGTCATTGAAGGTCAAATGTCAAATCTAAAGTCATATTTGAATTTCTGAGAACATGTAGATGATTTTGAAAAAAAAATTTAGTCAATTTGAAGCAAGATGAAAAAATACCTTTTTGACCCTTTTTGACATTGAGAAAGTCATTGAAGGTCAAATGTCAAATCTAAAGTCAGATTTGAATTTCTGAGAACATGTAGATGATTTTGAAAAAAAAATTTAGTCAATTTGAAGCAAGTTGAAAAAAGACCTTTTTGACCTTTTTTGACTTTGAGAAGGTCATTGAAGGTCAAATGTCAAATCTAAAGTCAGATTTGAATTTCTGAGAACATGTAGATGATTTTGAAAAAAAAATTTAGTCAATTTGAAGCAAGTTGAAAACAGGCCTTTTTGACCTTTTTTGACTTTGAGAAGGTCATTGAAGGTCAAATGTCAAATCTTAAGTCAAATCTAAAGTCAGATTTGAATTTCTGAGAACACGTAGATGATTTTGAAAATTTTTTTTAGTCAATTTGAAGCAAGTTGAAAACAGGCCTTTTTGACCTTTTTTGACCTTGAGAAGGTCAAATGTCAAATCTTAAGTCAGATTTGAATTTCTGAGAACACGTAGATGATTTTGAAAAAAAAATTTAGTTGATTTGAAGCAAGTTGAAAACAGACCTTTTTGACCTTGAGAAGGTCATTAAAGGTCAAATGTCAAATCTAAAGTCAGATTTGAGGGTCAAATGTCAAATCTAAAGTCAGATTTGAATTTCTGAGAACATGTAGATGATTTTGAAAAAAAATTTAGTCAATGTGAAGCAAGTTGAAAAAAGACCTTTTTGACCTTGAGAAGGTCATTGAAGGTCAAATGTCAAATCTAAAGTCAGATTTGAACTTCTGAGAACATGTAGATGATTTAGAAAAAAATTGAAGTCAGTCTAAACAGTATTTGTTAAGTTATAGGAAGTTGTAAGAAATTGTTACAGACGCCGGACGCCGGACGCCAACCTCCAACCACCAACCGCCAACCACCAACCGCCAACCACCAACCGCCGTCACAAAAAAAACGGAGACCATAACAATATGTCACCACTTTTGGTGGTGACATAAAAACACTAAGAATACTTCACGATTTATTTTTTAACTTATATGTTTCATTATACCAAAGGAAATTACTTACTCCATGCAATGGATATATCATTTGCTGGTAACTTTCACTTCTGTTTGAAGTCCAATTACGCTGGGATGAAAAGCTATTGAAAATGGCGCCGAAGTATCATACTTCAAAATGTACCATTTCTTGTTTAACTTTCTAAAGGCACGATATAGCATCATGATAAACCATGCCATCTCAAATCTTCTCAGCCCTGAGATGCCATGATATGAGCTTGATTTGGCGATCCAGGAGAGCCCAAAATTGAGGATTTTTGAGATCTTTCATCCCAGCTCATATTTCATCTAATTGGGGTCATTAAACTTGTGTAACTGTGCCTGTTGTAACATCTGCTGTTAAATACAATGCCTATTATGTAATGTATTGACATTAAGGTAGACGATTACATGATAACAATCACACTTATTGACAGTTATAACTCTTCCCATCGGATGTGCTCAGATCACAGAATATGCCTCATAATATCAGAGCATGTTTCAGGTGAAACAGAAAGGTGCTATGAGTATCAGAATGCGATATAGCGAAACGATATTATTTACACATGGTTTCAGCATTACTATAAAGGTATAAATGAGATGTTGATGTATTTGGTCTTTTTAATTCTTTTATAAAAAATAATGTTTAATTTTTTTGTCCGCTGTGACGGAGCAGTTGCAAATGTAAACTGTGAAAATGCTCCGTCACAGCGGACAAAAAATATTCGTATTATTTTTTATAAAAAAATTAAAAAGACGTAATGCGTTAATATCTCATTAATACCTTTACAGTTATGCTGAAAACATATTTTAATATTATCGTGTCACTATATCATGCCATTAAAAAGTTTAAAAAGAAATGGTACATTTTAGAGTTTGATACTCTGGCGCCGTTTTCAATAGCTTTTACTCCTAGCGGTATTGGACTTCAAACAGAAGTGAAGGTTACCCGCAAATGATATACCCATTGCATGGAGCAAGTAATTTTCCTTGATGTAACGAAACATATGAGTTAAAAAATAAAGTGTGAAGCATTTTTAGTGTTTTTACGAAAAATAGCATGCTCCGTCACAGCGGACAAATCTTTCGATACCAGCCTGTGCCGATGTATCATCTTTCTTCTTTCAGTAATATGTAATTGAATGTCTCTACCAAACTTGTACATTTGTTTTAGTGCTCATGATCAACAGTCACATTTTCAACATATGTATTATTTACTTCTAATTTGGATAATGGGCTAGTGCAAGTTTCTATTAAAGGGCAATTTATAAATGTAATGGAATGTCTCTACCAAACTTGTACATTTGTGTTAGTGCTCCAACAGTCACATTTTCAACATATGTATTATTTACTTCTTAATTGGACTAGTCCATTTTGTGAAACTGACTGACAATGATCGAGTCAAAGTTTCTTTCGAGGGGTGCTTCAATAAGATGGTGCTACACCATTCCAGTCTACCTCTGCGCCATACCATCTGAAGAATAAAGGAAACATAATGAATAGATGATTACAACAAGGCATTAACATGCAAAATGTCACCACCTACCATTTGTTACAGACACCAAATGCCAAGCATGTACCACTAAACACCAACTAACGAGCACAGTCCACAAAAGAGAAGACAATAACTTGTGATGGTGACATCAAAATGGGAACAAAAAGAATCATAAGAAAGATTTCTCTTAAACATTGTAGAGCATTGTGACTATATGAAGTTATTATTCCATGTTTTTCCAACTCTACAGTATTTTATTTTCATGTTCTCAACCACACAACAAGTTAGACTTACTTAGTCATTATAAGTTGATCTAATGCAGGGATTTTCTTTTCTTCTTCTTTACGTCCTATTGTAGTCTTGGACTGCAATTTTCTACCAAATCTTGTGTCTATAATGCAATAAATAATACATAAATATTTCATTCAATGTACTGGTATATTATTTTCGATTCCTCCCATAAATCACCTATATTACAATTGGCAACATTCAACTTTTTCATTAAGAGGTGAATTGTGGTTTGAGTCCCCGGAACCCCTTTCTTTCAAAATCATGCAATTTCACCATTCTGGCAACTTTTCAATTGGATTTGGCCATTTTGGGCAAAAGTTCTCAAATATGAACACCCCTGGAGTTTTTTTAAAAAGTGAACTACCCTTGGCAAAAACTGGCTGAGGGCCTGACTCCTTTCAACTGTATAAAGACACTCAAATACTTACCTACTAAAAGAACCAGCTCGCTTGTGTGTATTGGTAGACCAGTGTAGAAATATACTTACCTATCAAAAGAACCAGCTCACTTGGGTGTATCGATAGACCAGTGAAGTAATATACTTACCTACTAAAAGAACCAGCTCACTTGTGTGTATTGATAGACCAGTGAAGTAATATACTTACCTACTAAAAGAACCAGCTCACTTGTGTGTATTGATAGACCAGTGAAGTAATATACTTACCTACTAAAAGAACCAGCTCACTTGTGTGTATTGGTAGACCAGTGTAGCAATATACTTACCTAGCTCACTTGTGTGTATTGGATGACCAGTGTAGTAATTTACTTACCTAGCTCACTTGTGTGTATTGGATGACCAGTGTAGTAATTTACTTACCTACTAAAAGAACCAGCTCACTTGTGTGTATTGGCAGACCAGTGTAGCAATATACTTACCTAGCTCACTTGTGTGTATTGGATGACCAGTGTAGTAATTTACTTACCTACTAAAAGAACCAGCTCACTTGTGTGTATTGGTAGACCAGTGAAGTAATATACTTACCTACTAAAAGAACCAGCTCACTTGTGTGTATTGGCAGACCAGTGTAGTAATATACTTACCTACTAAAAGAACCAGCTCGCTTGTGTGTATTAGTAGAACAGTGTAGTGATATACTTACCTACTAAAAGAACCAGCTCGCTTGTGTGTATTGGTAGACCCATGTAGTAATATTCTTACCTACTAAAAGAACCAGCTCACTTGTGTGTATTGGCAGACCACTGTAGTAATATACTTACCTACTAAAAGAACCAGCTCGCTTGTGTGTATTGGTAGACCCGTGTAGTAATATACTTACCTGCTAAAAGAACCAGCTCACTTGTGTGTATTGGTAGACCAGTGTAGTGATATACTTACCTACTAAAAGAACCAACTCACTTGTGTGTATTGGTAGACCTGTGTAGTAATATACTTACCTACTAAAAGAACCAGCTCACTTGTGTGTATTGGTAGACCAGTGTAGTAATATACTTACCTACTAAAAGAACCAGCTCGCTTGTGTGTATTGGTAGACCAGTGTAGTGATATACTTACCTACTAAAAGAACCAGCTCGCTTGTGTGTATTGGTAGACCAGTGTAGTAATATACTTACCTACTAAAAGAACCAGCTCGCTTGTGTGTATTGGTAGACCAGTGTAGTAATATACTTACCTACTAAAAGAACCAGCTCGCTTGTGTGTATTGGTAGACCAGTGTAGTAATATACTTACCTACTAAAAGAACCAGCTCGCTTGTGTGTATTGGTAGACCAGTGTAGTAATATACTTAACTACTAAAAGAACCAGCTCGCTTGTGTGTATTGGTAGACCAGTGTAGTAATATACTTACCTACTAAAAGAACCAGCTCGCTTGTGTGTATTGGTAGACCCGTGTAGTAATATACTTACCTGCTAAAAGAACCAGCTCACTTGTGTGTATTGGTAGACCAGTGTAGTGATATACTTACCTACTAAAAGAACCAGCTCACTTGTGTGTATTGGTAGACCTGTGTAGTAATATACTTACCTACTAAAAGAACCAGCTCACTTGTGTGTATTGGTAGACCAGTGTAGTAATATACTTACCTACTAAAAGAACCAGCTCGCTTGTGTGTATTGGTAGACCAGTGTAGTAATATACTTACCTACTAAAAGAACCAGCTCGCTTGTGTGTATTGGTAGACCAGTGTAGTAATATACTTACCTACTAAAAGAACCAGCTCACTTGTGTGTATTGGTAGACCAGTGTAGTAATATACTTACCTACTAAAAGAACCAGCTCGCTTGTGTGTATTGGTAGACCAGTGTAGTAATATACTTACCTACTAAAAGAACCAGCTCACTTGTGTGTATTGGTAGACCCGTGTAGTGATATACTTACCTACTAAAAGAACCAGCTCACTTGTGTGTATTGGTAGACCCGTGTAGTAATATACATTGAACTTGTGCTCGCTCCTCCAGTCAGTTAAGAGATCTAATGTGAGGGAGAATAGACAACCAAACTGTCCATTCACTTTAGTGATCCATACAGGACATCTGGGAGTCTTTAACATACTCCCTACCTGAAATGATTTGATACTTCATGGTGAGAGCAATACAACTGGCTTTTAGGGAGTGTTTAGTACTGTATTCAAATTGTATGTGTATCTACTAGAGCCCTGACATTCAAAGAAGGAGCATGTTTCATAGTCTAGAGCTTGCAGGTTGTGCGAGTTCCTGGGTTTGTTCTTATGTCTATGCATATTCTTAAAAGCTATATAACCCATCCTATACTAAGTGTATTTACAAAGGCATGTCACAAATTATTGTCTGGTTTTTGGGTTTCAAAACATTGCTGCAAAATCCTTTTACTTAACCATTTGAAGGAAATAAATAAAATAAGAAATCCAGGACACTTTGTCCACTAAAAAGACATTTACCCTGTAGTAGCCTTATAAAACATATTGTAACACACCTGTGTTCTATTATCATTTGCTTCATCTTTGTGCCAGTACAGAAAGCCAATCTCACTTCGCTCTAGAATTCCAACCATTGGTTGATTCTGTAATGAAATTGTAGAAAGATCAAACAAAATGAGAATACTATCATCAGAATATACTGATCTAAATGACATTTTCACCAAATAATTACATGTCAAGTGACAAGATACACAATGATCAATATTGCATATTTTTTCAAAAATTCAAAATGGCCATCAAATAATTTACTCAGCATGCACAAAACCCAACTAGATCTTAGAATTTGTCTGTTTTCACATCAGTAAAAATCTAAAGTTGAACAAGTAGAGTTTTCTTGGACGTTTGATGACAAGACTAATGTGGTGCCTGCCATTAGCTCTCATTTAACGATTTATCATAGAAAATCTCTCCAAATTACAGTGTATCTGAAGCCATTTTGTCTAGAATCCCAGTTAAAGAAAATTAGTGCCCCAGTCATAATTTCCTCACCAAAGCTTCTCCATCTTCACTGTAGTCTATCTTGCCATTGTGAAGATGTCTAGTAGCCCGGCCAGTCAATAAAAGATTGACTAGTGCCCCTGACACATCTTCATTGTCAGTTAGGAGTTGAGGTATAGCATCTTCAAGATCTTCAATTATTCTGAAATGGGAGAAAAACTGAATAATCAATTCATATTTTTATCAGCTGCTTATATTATGATTACTAAGGCTGTATTTTTGGATATGATTTTTTGACCCCAGGCAAGATTTTAATCTTAACAAATCTCCCAACCTTGGGAGGCTCTATATTTGGGCAAGAATGAACAAAGCTGTTCTTTTAGATGTGAGTGTCCCATTTTTATTTGCCCACCCTGTACAATGTGGGATGGAGATGACGAGAATAAAACATTTTTTCAACTCTTATATTACATACCTAGTGATGCATTTGTATGCAAGTCAATGGGAAAATTAGTTGGCTATATTCACAGATTTTGAGCGGTTACCCCAATATAGCCCCCGTACCTCGTTTTGATATTAGATTTCTTTGATAACCATGACAAAATCACGACATCATGTCTGATTTCAATCAAATTCTACTCGCACAGAGATGTGTGATGTCATCGGTACAAAGTAACCATGGGAATAAAAGTATGTAATACATCAGCTATGTCACTATGACGTGAAATATGCCTTCTTTCTTGCCCAAATGTAGAGCCTCCCAAGGTCGGCCTACATTGGGAGAACTCAGGCATTTCACATCATAATGACATAACCTCTAATTATTACATGTTTCTGGCTTGCATTTTTCATGTTTTTCTCAAAGACTGTTACCAATTCTTCTAAAATTGTTATGATGTTGGTGTAGAATGTATTTGGTGAAATCATCTAATTATTTTTATACCACTTTTGCGATGATAACATACTCTGGAGTCCAGAAACTTACAGCTCTAATTCCTAACCAATATGTATCTACAATATCTTCAAGAATTATGATATGCCATATCTTCAAGAAATATGTTCCACCATACCTTCAGAAATATGATCTACCATATCTATTCAAAAAATATGATTTTCCATATCTTCAAGAATTGTGAACTTATACAACATTTTCTGGAAAAATACCCTAAAGTAATACGAAACCTACTTTGGCACTGTTCTGGATAAAGCCATACTATAGAGGTATAAGATACATCCTGTTGGAGCTTCAAACTGTAAATAAAAACATTGATATTCTCATAAGGTAAATCATCTTCAATATGCTACTACAAATTAAATCCTTGTTGAGCAAGATGTAAAGAAATTTCAGAAGGTTTAGTTGGTGAGATATTGTGTAAGACTGTGCCAACTCTACTGAGAAGTCATATGTGAGAAACATTCAATTTTAAAACGTTTATACTAATATACTCCTCAAAAAAAGTTAAGGACCTCATAGGTTTACATGTTAATCCCCATATTTGTTTAGCGACTGTTTTCTAAGCGGGGAACAAAAGAAATCCCAATAAAGTAAATAAATCTGTATCTTGATTCTATTCCCTATAAAGTCCGCAACATTTCAATGTTATATCTCCATTACATTCTGTCAAAATTTGATGTCAAAATTGATGAATTTCATGAAATGTAACAAAAATGGCAGATCCCATGTTAAACAAATGGGGAATGGTGGTTTAGGGGCAACTCAGATTTTGGAATATCTATTCAGCAAAACATTTATTAAAAATACTTTCTAAGTAGAAAATTGAATGATTTTACATTTTACACGCTAAATGTCTCGCTTATGTTGTTAAAATTAGCGATACGGAGCGTTAAAGTAATTTTGACCACCTCACTGAACCACCTGTGTTATTTCAATAAGAGGTTCATTAAAAATTATTGAATTTGAAACCATTAACTTTTGTAAAGCCTGGACAATTAAATCATATTTTTGTCGAGTAGACAATTTAGCAAATTTAATTATCTCTTACAATCTCAATTTTGAGAGCAATCGGATGGATGGATCGTTCCTCATATGACTTATGGCAACCCAACCATTCCCCATAAATTTCATGAAATTCATCAATTTTGACATCAAAAGAAGAGGCTCGATAGAGAGAGCTTTTTAGATGAGTACAACTTTTTTATTTTCTACACGATCATTATGGAATTTTCAGACAATATCGGAGGTGTGATGAATTTTTATATTCTAAAATATTATTACCCTGCGTGCAGAGTCTAGTTAAACCTTCCCCCTTTTGACATGAAGGCCAGAGCTGAATATGACAGCACATGTTAGTGAATGATTGGTAAGTGAAAACAATCTATCTTTATAACGGAATATATTCCCTATAGTTAAGTGGATTTCTGGTCACGAAACAAAGAAATACTAGATATAGTCTGATAGTAACAGTTCAAACAAAGCTTGTCCCCGTCTGTTTTGATTGTTTGACCGGGAAACCAATGGGGTCTTCTCATCTGCATAATCAAGTCACCTTATATCGCACTATTAGAGCTGGGTAACTGGTAAGCAGAAAACACAATCGCCACTTCAAGTACATTTCACTGTTTTTTCTTGCGCTTTTTTCTTAGCTCTCATTTATGTATCATACGTTTAGTCAATCAATTTTTTGTAGCTAAACGATTTGAACGGATTGCAATGAAATGACCTTTATGCGGTCTGGCTACGTACGGCCTGTTGATTTCTACGGGGACCGCAGAAATTAACAAATATTGTAACTCCGAGTTATAAAATCTACGGCTTCCCTTCACTGATATAATTGATCTGCGGTCTACTTACGGCCACTGTGCGACAAATGTGACTGGGGAGTAAATTGATCTGCGGTTGACGTAGTCGCCTTTCAAGTTAAGTATTGAGATTTCTATTCTGACCTTCACTTAAGAAACATAACATTAACTAGGATGTGGCTCTGCGGCTGCTGCAGAAAAACCGAGTGTATTATTTACATACAATAATGTTATCGTATATACATGCTGGTTGCCAAAATGTGGCTCTGCGGCTGTGTCGCCGCTGGACAATATACAAAAAAAAATGTTTATAATGGACAATTGATAAGCTTTCTCGATAATGTAGTAATAACAAATCCCATTTCAAAATTAAAAACTTTCCGACCACCTGTAAAACCTTTTCTATCTTTAGCATCACAAATTCATTAATGCCCATTATTATTCTGTTGAGAACATGATGCTAAAAATCTTTGAAATCCTCAACAATTGAGGTTATAAGGAAAAAGGTTTGTCCGAAAATTTTTCATAAACATTTTAAAGACATAGACTTAGTTTATCTCGCCGCTTAGAGCCTAAGTGATCTTATTCACTAATACATACACCGTTCACTCAGTAATACTGCATTTACAATTACCGTTCTATTTTCATAACGTTAAACGACCAAATAGAAATCATTTTCTTGCTAATTCGTACTACGTGACCCAAACGCAATAAAATACATTTCTTGTATAGTGATAAGACCTGATACATTTCAATTTATTTTAGTATTCCCACGATTTGTTATGGGGTAATGACCATAGATGAATTTTATTTGTAATTATGATGGCTAGTTTTTAGTCGAGTTACAGCACTAGTACTTCCATTGACTGACTTGTTTAAACTAACACTTCTCCCTACAATGTACAACAGTTTTTAATGCATGTAGGCATACACCCATTGCAAGCAGAAACACCGCACTTCAATTTGTACAGCAGTAAGCGTCGAGCACATGTTGTAAAAGCTGCATACCGAATTTTCCCTGAAATATTTGTAAAAGTTGTTTCAATTTTAAGGCTGGATTTGAGATAAGGTATAAGCCTTGTGAGACGTGACCTATATATATCATACAGGAGTCGATTTAATATTTTACGCTCACACATATCTGACATAGCCTAACATGTTATAAATTGAGAGATTACAAAATATACTCCTCAAAAAAAGTTAAGGACCTCATAGGTTTACATGTTAACCCCCATATTTGTTTAACGACTGTTTTCTAAGCGGGGAACAAAAGAAATCCCAATAAAGAAAATAAATCTGTATCTTGATTCTATTCCCTATAAAGTCCGCAACGTTTCAGTGTTATATCTCCATTACATTGGGTCAAAATGTGATGTCAAAATTGATGAATTTCATGAAATGTAACAAAAATGGCAGATCCTATGTTAAACAAATGGGGAATGGTGGCTTAGGGGCAACTCAGATTTTGGAATATCTATTCAGCAAAACATTTATTAAAAATACTTTCTAAGTAGAAAATGGAATGACTTTACATTTTACATGCTAAATGTCTCGCTTATGTTGTTAAAATTAGCGATACGGAGCGTTAAAGTAATTTTGACCACCTCACTGAACCACCTGTGTTATTTCAATAAGAGGTTCATTAAAAGATTATTGAATTTGAAACCATTAACTTTTGTAAAGCCTGGACAATTAAATCATATTTTTGTCGAGTAGACAATTTAGCAAATTTAATTATCTCTTACAATCTCAATTTTGAGAGCAATCGGATGGATGGATCGTTCCTCATATGACTTATGGCAACCCAACCATTCCCCATTTGTTTAACATGGGATCTGCCATTTTTGTTAAATTTCATGAAATTCATCAATTTTAACATCAAATTTTGACCCAATGTAATGGAGATATAACATTGAAACGTTCTGGACTTTATAGTGAAAAGAATCAAGATACAGATTTATTTTCTTTATTGGGAATTCTTTTGTTCCCCGCTTAGAAAACAGTCGTTAAAGAAATATGGGGGTTAACATGTAAACCTATGAGGTCCTTAACTTTTTTTGAGGAGTATATATGCAATTAGCATTTATATCACAGTTAGCTAGAACAATCATTTCGTGACAATTAACCCACGTTATGGCTGGGTCACATAGGTGTCTGGCCGATTGAGTGTTTTGTTCAAAATTGTATTTGTTTGAAACAAAATACTCAATCGGCCGAGGGCCGACCGATGAATCGCAGCAAATATGAACCTGACATTATGTAACGTTCCCTTTTTTACAAATACAATGTATCTTGGGCTTTCTTATATTTTGATATTGGTTGCTTATTTTCACGGCTTGATTGACGCACAAATATTTTGATTGTACGTGCTCATGACAGGTTTAGGCATTAATGGGTGACAACGTCTGTCAAAATATTGCACGTTGGTTGTGTTGACGTGATTTATGACTGAATACATATTAAAACTAGTACTGCTTTTGAAAAGTTTTTAAAAAAGTATGGAAGAGTCTAACCTGCTCGTTAAAGATATTAAGTTGTATTATGTATTGTACACGTAACTACATTAATTGTATGTACCTACATTGTAACACAACGGTGTTGCATGGTGTACTTAGTAATGTTTATGCGCATTAGCAATGTCATGAACAAAATTGAGCAGAATGTGATCCCCTCGATTTTTGTGAATTTCTAATTTCAGGGACTTTCTCTGAAAACAGACCCCAAGTTAGTCATGGAAACACTTTCTTAATCTCTCAAGAACTTTAAGGTAGATGTGTTTTTTGGGAATTTTTATACAGTCTAATTTTAACGAAGCCACACATTACTTTCAAATATGGACCTCTTTCCAATGTTGTCTACAACTTTCAGTTTTGCATAAAAGACTGCACTATTGTAGCGAGAAAAGAGTGTGGACAATATTTCGTTTATAAAATGTATGAAAACGAGAAAATCCAGTGACTTACTTTTTAAAAATAAAAAATAAGTCGGCTACTTCATTTTCCAATTTTTATATATATAAAAATATCCAAAACGTTCACTACGCTCTTTTCTGGTTACCTTTAGTGTACTCTTTGTGTAAATGTGAAAGATGTAGAGAGCGTATGAAAAATACGCCTCGCACTTTTTGTCAGATTTCAGACATAATTTACTTCAAGGTAATATACAAATTGGGAAAGAAATTGCCATCAATATATTCCAGAAAAGAAACATATTGATATGGTCTTTGTTGATTGAACATCGTTTAGATAATATTAGTATTGAAACATCACTGAGGGCGGTCCCAACAAAATCTCTATATATCAACCTTGCTTGAAGCATCAAATTGATTAATTTGAGTGTTCACGGAATGTGTGTGTCAACGATGGATGCTTTTTGTTTGATACGTTTATTTCGTACACTCGTATGATTGATATAATCAATAACTTCAAAAATACATGCTCATAGAATCTGGAATGTTTTGTTAATTAGGGGTACAATGTTTAGGACACTAA